TGACCTAATCATGATGAACAGTTATTTTAATCGCGCCCTAACAGATTGTGTTAAAACTAAAAAATAATATACAATTATATACTTCCTTCTCTCAGAGTAATAAATATAATCTTATAAAAGAGGAGAGGCGTGTATGTACTTGCAAAAGGGGCCATACCGCAGTCAAATGTCGTACAACGGTAATGTTTCTGAATATTAACAGTTAATAAAATCATCTTGGGCTTCGATATTGGTTAATATTTTATACTAACTTCGTGAATTTTTGGCACATGTCTGTCCAAGTTTTTTTTATAGGCGATTTGTTCGCGACGTTTATTAAATCCTAACTGTAATGTTTTTTTTTCAACAATTTTGCATATTTTAAATAACTCGGTTTCGGTCATATGGCACAAGACTCTTCTCGAATATTAGTCATGATTCTGAATTTTTGATATTTTAAATATTTTTTTTTTATTGCTCACATATGAAAATATCTTATAAGTTGAATATAGTATAAAATGTTTGCAGGTTCATATTTTTCAAATATGTTTTTTTTTATCTAAACTCCTATAAATACATATACTCCTTGATTAGCATCATCTATTTTCTGCGAAACATGTTTTCTGCAGTGCAGAAATTGTTAGACTATTTAATATTGCACAAGAATTATTTTTTTACATTCAAAACTTAATTTGAAAGCGACACGAAGTAATTGTGTAATAATGCATAAATTAGTTTTCATAATGAAATTGATGCCAAAAATACAACAGTGAACTAATATGGGTTAATAATTAATAAACAAATAGCATGTTTAGTTAGACTTTAGGCAAATCGATTCAATTCAAAGAATGAAATGTAACTTTTAAAAATGTGTATTTAGGACTTATTATTTTTTATAATAAAACTACTTTTCGTAGGCCTATAACATTTTGAGACCTTCGTTAAGCAACATTTCCGTCAATCGTTTAGCAAAACTAATCAACGCCAGTGTTTATCAAATGGCTTTTAAATTTTTGAAATCAGTGCAACAGTTCTTTTTTTTGAAAAAAAAAATCGTCGATGAAGGTCAAGTCTCGACTCACATATATACGTACACACAAACCTTTTCCAATTTTGGTGTCAAACTATTCAGAACAGCTTGAAGCGTCGAGGAAACGTAAAACTAGCAAATCTGATTTTCTGGCTAAACAAACAAACCTCTTCTACGTGATGTTAAAAATAGATTTCTTGAAAATGCATTTCTGAGCCAAGAATACGAAAGTTGAATTTAATTCGGTAAATAATATCTTAAATTATTCTCTCGCTAACATAAAACATGCATCTGCATTACAGAAGCATATAGTTACATGATCATTTTTAGCACATTAAATACTATTGGGCAATTCTATATATTTTGTTGGTATAATTACTTGGCCGAATCATCATTCATGTCGCTTAATTAAAATTTATAACATTCATATTTGGATCATACTAATAGTATATGCTCACGTGATTGTGGTGCTCCTGATCTACATCTTCCATCATCTGTCTTTTTCGTCCTCGCCCTTTGTCATTTTATTTTTCCTTCGATGACGTCTTTCAGAAGGCACCCTTTTTCCAATATGAGTCCGATCCAGTTTCTTCTTCTCACGATCCTGTCCAGTAGAGTTCTTTTCTTTCGTCACTCGATCATTCGAGAAAGTAGTGCTGAAAAAAATGCTAATTTTTAAATACTAATCAATTTAAATTGTACAATTTTTTACATACTTTTTTGGTTAGGCGCTATTTTAGTATGTACATTTTGGAAATATAAAATTACCGCAGAATTTTAAAAATATAAAATAACCAGCGAAATAAATATGACCTATGAAATTAGTTTCTAATTGTTAATAATAATTAAGACTTGTACAAAAACTGACATTTTAGAAAATCCGTTTTGAATCATAATTTTTCCAGGAAAAAAAAATTATTGGAAAATTCGGTAATTCCAACAAAAAAAAACAGAAAATTTTGAGTGAATAAAAGCAGCTTATTTGACTGAAATTATTTACAGTTCAATTTTAGAACAAAGAAAAAATAGTTAACCAGGATTATATAAATTTAAAAACAATTATTCGTTGTATATTATATATATATATATATATATATATATATATAAATGGTGAACAAGATCAATTTTTAATATTGATATGAAACACAAGATATAAGAAACGTCTGTAATTGAATTAGCAATGAAGTATTATAGAGCTGGTGCTAAGAATATTGAAATAAATATGAAAATATCTTTTAACGTTAAATACAGAACGATTAAGTTGCAAAAAGCAAAGATGCTCCTAAGTACCGTTTAATACATGTGGCAACTTAATAAATCTCGTTTTAACATTAGAATGCTGTTGTGCACACCAAACATTTAACAGTAATCTATGATAGTTATTTTATTGCAAACAGCGCTATCGGATTATTAGCACTAACGGTTCATAATTAGCATCGGAAGAAAATAAGTAAAAGCGAGATTTTTACAATGATTTCTCACACGAAGTGCAATTAAAACGATGGAAACTCGGACGCCATTGAAGGCGTCGGGATGCAATTAAAACGTGAAAAGTCTTGGATATGTGTCAACGTGTGTTTATTTTAAACAAGTTATACTGTAGATTAATGCGATATAAGTTTATGATAAGGAGCAAGAATTACCTAACAGTTTATCTTAGCGGTTATTTAAAATTGTTCCTGTACGTTGTCCTAATAACAGGCAATGTTACCGCAATCTTTCGCAATACATTTTCAGTCTCTTTTGATATTCACTGCTGTTAGTATTGCTTGCAATAAATTTCAGAATTATTTAAAAATTCTGGCATTACTAATTTCCTTTCATCAAAAAATTTCGTGATTAACTTTGGGCCATTGATTTGATACACAAACACATGATAGAACTGTTTCCCTATGAGAATCTAGTAAAAACCCTACAAAAATAAATTGTAAAAGTATTTTTTCAATTTTGAATAACTCAATTGATCTGTAAGAGATGAGCTGCCCCCACGTATACGTTTTACATTTTAAAGGAAGAATGCATTTTCTTGCAGCCTTTTGTATTTCACTATATCTTTACTGTACTGATACTGATCTGATTATGATATGATCATTATTTTAGTTTAAACTTTCATTTTCTTAGCCGATATTTTCTAGTTCATTATTTTGATCTAAATTTCCTTCTTTGATGCACATTTTCATCACCTAATCCATCACATTTCCTTTGAAATATTCTGTTATCACCGATAGTTCATTAGTTGAGAATTGTTAGCAGTTCAATGAATTGGATATGTTCACCCTAATAGATTTGTGAAATTCTGCTATGTTTGACCGAATCAATTACACACTGTTAAGTGAAAAATATTCGAATATAAATAGATATATTTTACTAATACGAATATACTTCGTCATAAAACGATTAATTTATATAAGCAAATAATATTAACATACTTTGTTTTCTTACATTGAAGTTTTACTAATTTAACTGAATTTGAATATTTCTATACTGACGTTGAAGAATGTCAAGCACATACGTTATTTGTTTCTCAAGAATTCATATGTATTTATCTAGCAGTACGAAAACATTTTAGTATTTGTCTACGACTAGAATATGGAAAAAATGTGCAAACAATTTGAAACTGCTTTCTGAAGTAGCGTATAAGAAAATGGATTTCCCATAGAACATGTTATAGGAACAGTTGAAAGAATTACTAATTGTAAGAATAAGAGGTGCGTTCGTGCAAAACTACCGACATGACATTTTGCCATGTCGCCGGCGAAAGAGATGTGTGTGGCTCATTGCGTTTTATAAATAGATTCAGAAGCCAAGACTCTACGAGAGACTGAATTAGCAGTTATTTCAAATGAAAATAAAATGCACCGACAAGTTTTCTAATAATAAGTAAGATGCCAATTAAGTGCCTTAGAAGTATTAAGTTTTGTAAGTCTGTCAGAAAACTGCGTCTTCCGTGAAATTGTTTGTTTTCCTCAGATCACATCTTTAATTACTTCAGTTCTATATCGGAACCATATCAAGACGTAAATTTGACTATTTATAAATTTGTATTCAATATTCTTAAAATTTCTTAAGCAAATTTCCAGCTATAGAGCTCGAATTTTTTTGTAGTGTACTTTAGAATATCAAATCAAATCAGCTCTTTCGACACGAAAGTGTTTTTCGTAGCAGTGATACTGCTGTATAAGCCAGCAAGTCGCCTAAGCATTTTTTTTATTATATTTTTAACAGCAATCAGGACCTTACGTCCTATGAGCTGTTGGGCTGAAACTTCTCCTTACTTTGTATTTTTAGATTTTAACCCAATGGTTAATTTTCCATATTTGATTATTTTTGTTATTGGCATGAATCTAATAGGGCTGACTTTTTATTGGTGCAGCAATGCCGGGCAAGGGCTATTTTCACTTGGAAATATATTGCTATCTATATTTCCAAGTGAAAATCGTTGTCACTGCTGCCTGACAACAGACTGCTCGAAGTGGGTATCGAACCCGGGACCTCTGAAACAAGTCCCGTCGCTCTTAACCGCTTACCTACGGACGAGCCGCCGAAGTATTTGATACACAATATTTTTTAAGATATTCCAGTTTTATCAATTCAGGTTAAGGATCTTGACTAAATTACCTATTGTTGAAAAATTACTAAAATGTTTATATGTATGTAATTAATTTTTTTATACTTTTTTTCAGACAACGCCTGGGTAACCTTAGCGACAAATGATTCGTATGCTTTGGGTGCACAAGTTTTAGGACATTCGTTGAAAAAAGTCAACACTAAACATAAATTGGCCGTGTTAGTTACACCTAGTGTAACGGATTGCATGAAGTGAGTAAAAGGAATTATTGTAACGTCCCATTTCTTTCAAACATTCAGAATATCTGTTTTCCATATAATATAGAATCATTGTCTACGCCTGATAAAAATTCATGAAATTATTGAATTATTTAATAAGCAATTGCCGAATAATTTCATTTCCTTAGAACACCATAAATATTATTTCCGAAACACTTTTTTGTAGAAATTGTCGTGTATTAAATTTAATTTAATAATTACAGAGAAAAGCTTTCGAAAATATTCGATTTGGTGCAAACTGTGGATGTGCTCGACTCTAAGGACGCTGCGAATTTGGCTTTGTTAGCTAGACCCGAGCTTGGTATTACATTCACAAAATTGCACTGTTGGACACTCGTTCAATTCAAGAAATGTGTATTTTTGGATGCCGATACACTGGTACATTTATATTTATTGTTTTATCTTTATTTCAACTTTCTCTTTATTTATTAAATTATTTTTATCAATCTTTTATTAGGTAATCCAAAACAGTGATGAGTTGTTCGATCGCGACGAATTTTCAGCTGCTCCTGATGTAGGATGGCCCGACTGTTTCAACTCCGGTGTCTTTGTTTTTAAACCTTCCATCGAAACTTTCAATGCGTTATTAAAACTTTCTACGGAACAGGGCAGTTTTGATGGTACGTTTTCACCCCGAATTTCTTCATCATCATCAATGTTTCTCAATATGATGTATTTTATTAATAACCATTAATATTCTATTTCCATTTGAAACCTAGATATCCTAAAATATCTAGTAATTCTTATTATTAATCCGCAATTGAAAATTTGATAAATTATATGAATGCATAATTTGCAGGTGGAGACCAAGGACTTCTGAATACTTATTTTTCAAATTGGAGTTTGCAAGATAGCAGTAAACGACTTCCGTTTATCTATAACTTGTGTTCAATCGCTTGCTATTCATACTTGCCCGCTTTCAAACAGTAAAATTAAAATTTTCATATTTTTATTTAAGCATGTTGCTCATTTATATTTTGACAACAATACTTTTTGTAGGTATGGACAACACGTCAGAATTTTCCACTTCATTGGTAACAATAAACCCTGGTTGCAACATTTTGATACGGTTTCTTGTCAAGTCCAAACTCCAGCTTCTGAACCACATTTAGGAGTGTTCTTACAATTCTGGTGGAATATTTTCTTTGAATTAGTGCATCCAACACTCGCGCAAAACATGGTAACACACATTTTTAATTATATTTGCTTTGTTTGCATGCTTCTTTAATTGTCCTGTAATTTAATTCTTTAACTAAACACTGTCTCAATTATTATTACTAACCTTACAATCAGTTTATGTATGTGTTGCAACTTGCATTTCTCAGGACCAGAGTGCGCAAAATACTATTAATAGTGTGGATTTTTTATGTTCTATTATTCATAATTTTCAAGCAGTTAACTACTCTGCTCGAGATTTGTCACGAACTAAAACAAAAATGCCGTCAGATATTGAGATTGACGATATACCAAAAATCAGGCCAGAACTGGACATATGTTTTAATGACAGTGTGAATACAAACGAATTAAAACTGATAGTCAATGAAAACGATGATAGAACCAATAATTTTGAGTGTTATGTTGATCAATTTAACCCAGTTGGTATCTTTGGTAGAAATGTAACAGATGAACATAAAATATTGCTGGAAGCTATTCCAAAATATTCTCTCGGCCCGTGCATGTGCAGTACTGAGTCGTTTTACATAAGCTGTTTAGTAAGTATGTTTTCACATACGAAGCATTTTTGACTAACAGCATTTCTCCATTTGCATCTGATTAATCGCATCTTTCATCGCACTTGAAAATCTTGAAAAAATCGGTTTCGATTTAACTTAAAAGAATAATTTTAATTCTTCACCGTCAACGAGTAGTGCATATGAGATAAACATTTTAAATTCAATAGCTTAGTCGAGCGCAATGTGATCATTTCTCGATTCGATTTCAACGCGTTTTTATATTCATTTCGATGAAAACCGACTTGGCCTATTTTCGTATACAAATGATTAACACCATTTCTTATTTATAAATTGTATTCACTCTTCGAATTGTAAAAATACAAACTTCAATAATCGTATATAATAATATACTGAAATATCAAAAGGTATTTCGATTATTGGCCGGCCCAATAACCTTCCGTCACAGAAAATTAAAACGCTTCGTTAAAACGCTAACTCACAAGCCTTTCGTAACCAAAATCTTCTTGAATGTTTAATTTTGCACAAAATTTCTTCTCCATTTTTAGGGAGGCTTAGCCGCGGTCTACTCCCAATTGAAGTTGGGCGTCGCACAAACGGATGAGCAGGTGGCCCTTGAAGAAAAACTCCGAAAAGAAGCATGGGAAGCCGGCCACGTTGATTACATGGGTCGCGACTCATTCGATAATATTTTACAAAAAATTTCTGAAACCCTTTCTTTAGGTAAGCCTGACAAAAAAGATGTACCGCCGCAAGATCCAAAAGACGTTACATCTTCAGAGAAGCCAAAAGTGGAAGGTAAAGCTAGAGTGTGATATTTTCAGTGTGCCAATTAAGTGATTATTTCCCATAACAATAAAAATAATTATAAACTGTGTTTTGTAGACAATGTGTACTAATTTTAATGGAGTGTTGTTTATAAATTAATTATGTAACTTACTAATTTTATGTTAAGATTATTTATGTAAATATTTCTGTATTATAGACTGATGTAAATTAATTTTTTTAAACAATGTAAGTACATTTAATGGCATTAAAATGTTGTTTTAATATGTGTGTGGATTATTTTACATAAAAACATTTATCGAACTATAAATTGAAATATTACTGGGTGTAGAAAGTCCAAGATATTTGTTTTCTTCACATTTTGCTAACAATATCATTAACTTTCTTCGCGTTAATATTAGTTCCACTTACACGCGCTATTTTTTTTATTACCTATATTTATTTTGAAGTAGACACCTACAATTAAATTTCTAATAAAGTATGGGTGTATTTTGTTCATGAATTAAAACAAAATAGTTTCAAAAATTCGCTGGATTTAATTTGTGCACTCAAAAAAACGCATATCTCGTTGTAAGTGATTCTGAACAAAATCTGAACAATCGCTGTTAACACGAACATTGCAAAAATGTTACGAAGGAACATTGCAAAAATGAACTAATTATATTAGTGACAATAAACTTTGAGTTGTAATACTAATAAAATGTAATTAATACTGCATGGAATTGTCTAACAATATGTTATTAACTATGCCTTATGATTATATTAATCGAATGCAGAGGCCGGCAATACGAGTTTTGTGAATCCTTGAAGGTAAAAAAAAAACATTCATGATGTTATATTTATGATGATTACCTATGTAAAAATCTTATCGCTATAATTGAAAATTAACTGCTAAAAAACGTTCTATTTTAGTACTTTTTCAATAATATTTTACGCACGAATAATAAATGCCGACCTGCTATTGTATTAAACTTGTAAAATTTTTCCGTGTATCGTAATAAAAATAATTTGAATTAAAATATATAGAAGTAAAGCCAGAATCAGTACTCACTGAACATTCTAAACAAGATGCCTCCAAACCTGATGGAGCTGAAGCGAAACCGGATCTAGAGGAGAAATACTGTGAAATAAAACTTGCACAACCAGAAATTCCAACTTCATCTCAGACCAGCGAACTAGGTCCAGCAGTGCTTGTGGAAAAGACTCCAGAAATCGGGCCAGCCGTGTTGGTCAAGAAGGGTAAGGCTGAAACAGAGAAAACTCTCGAGTTGGGTCCTGGTACAATCTCGACGGTTGCCATTTGTCCTAATTTAACAGTCGCTGAAATTTACAATGCCCCTTTATTAGCAGCGAGCGAACCAGCAAAACCAAATGTTCAAGCTGATGTCGCTCCAGTCGATTCCAACAAGCCATCGACTCAACCGACAGAACTTGTAGCCGCGGAAGCTAAACCTGGTAAAATATAATATTCTGAGCGTTTAGATTAGTTTAAATCTTTATCTTTGAAATTAGGCGTAGATCTATTAAATCCAAACCGGCAATTCAAAAACAAAACTAACATAAATTAAAATATTCGCCTCATTCAAACTTATTCATTTACAAAATTCCATGAACAAGTAGCATGAAAAGAGGCGTGGGGCTGTCACTCCCTTCCAACAATTTTCAGTGTACAAAATTGACGAGCATTAACATCATTTTAATAATACGTGTAATTTATTAACAATAATAATTTATTTTTATTTTGGTATTCGATAATGCTTGGAATACTTTACATCCACTCCAAACAATGGATACAGTATGATTAACTCAATAGCATAACACCTATTTTTGTTATCTTAATAATAGTCGCTGAAATTTATAATGCTCCTTTATCAGCAGCGAGCGAACCAGCAAAACCAAGTGTTCAAGCTGATGTCGCTCCAGCCGATTCCAACAAGCCATCGACTCAACCAACAGAAGTTGTAACGGCGGAAGCCAAACCTGGTAAAATATATTTTTAGAGAGTTTAGGTCTTTATGATCCTTGAAATTTGGCTTACATCAATTAAACCCAAACCAAAAACACAAAAACAAACAAAAGCTAACATGAATTAAAATGTTCGACCCATTCAAACTTATTTATAAAATTCCATGAACAAGTACACAAGCATGAAAAGAGGCGTGATGTTGATACTCTCTTCCAACACTTTTCAGTCTACAAAATTGACCGACTAATAAGTTCAATTTAATAACACACGTGAATTTCTCAACAATAATAATTTATTTTTAATTTGGTATCCGGTAAAACTTGGAATACTTTATTTCCACTTTAAATAGCTCAAATTCGTATTTCCAAGTGCATATAAACTAAGAATAATAAAATAAAGCTCAGTTGCCAAAAACGTTGTTCTTATGTTAGTGATGAGAACTTTCAATTGTACCAGTAACCTTTCTCACTTCATTCAGATGCACCACCTCAAGAGGTTCCTAAAACACCAGGTGTCATCGAGGCCACTCCACCAGCGACACCCGAAGCCGCCACAGAGAAAAAATCAAAAACTGATGCCACTTCAGAAAATGCTGGTACCGTATGCAAAAATATTACTGAAGCTACTCAAGTTCCATGTGCTTTGTCAGCCGCTACACAGAACTTGAAGATTGAGGCGGATATTCTGGACACTCCTCCAGTTACAAGTAGCGGCGACGACAATAAGAAACAATTACCAAATGTAGAAACTATTTCAACCCAGCCAGAGAAGCAGGAAATAGATCAAGCTCTTCATAAAAAATCAGAAACGGAACCAAAAAGTGAAATAAACACCCAAACCATTCAAGGCACATTAGACGCTTCTGATGAACCAAAAAAAATTCAAGAAACAATTCATGAGGAAAAGAGCGTTGATAAAACTATTGCTCCTGGTAAAACAACAGAAGTAATATCAGAAAACTCCAAAGCTTCTGTTCCAAAACCACCTCAAGTCTCTGTTGTGGAAAATGTTTCTAAACCGACCGAGATTACGCCAGAAGCAACAACAAAACCTATAGAAAGTAAACAAAATACCGAAAAAATGACAGGTGTTGTATTAGAACCGGAAGTTAAACTTGCAAAATCAGATGCTTGTGTAGAACCCACCACAACACCTGCAAAACAAGAAGGTTCAGCTGCGTCACATCCATCTACTAAAGACACTGCAAATCAAGAAAAATCTGCTGACGCTTGTGTCAAATCAGAAACATGTCCTAAATCTGAAATTAGTGATAAAAAAGATGAATCTGTAAAAGCCGAGTCTTGCGCAGAATCGGCGAAACCAGAAATTAGCACTGAATCTAAGTCAAGTAATACACAAGCAAGCACGAAAGCAGAAGTGTGTAAAAAAACGGAAGGTTGTGCAACGCCTGAAGCTTGCACCAAACTTACCACAGAGCAAGCACATGTAGGAGCAAAACCTACAGATGTAAAACCAGACGCCTGTTTCGCACCACCGGTAGATAAAGCCCAAGATAAATCGACTGATATTAAACCAGAATCTTGTCCAAAATCAGTTATCGAACAACCAAAAAATGAAGAACAACCCAGTAAAGTTTGTGAAAAAGCGAATTTGGACCAACCGAAGACTGAAGAAAAGGTTGTTGATACGAAAGTAGAGAAAGAGGCTTCAAAACCTGATACTAAACCAGAAGCTGTTTGTGAAATACCCTCGTCCACACAGCCACAACCACCATCAGATACTGTGGCAGAACCAGTCAAGGAAATCGACTCTACACTAGCTGCCGCCAACGTAACTCAAAAAGATGAGGTTAAACAACCAATTACGGATGATAAGAACGCTAACAAAACAGAGCCTGCTAAGGACATCAAAGAAGCTACTGCGTCACAAAAGCCTGCTGGAGCTGCTGGCCAGGCAAAGAAAAAAGGACCTCCAGCAAAAGGACAAGGCGATAAAAAAGAAGCAGGAGATGGAGCACAACCTTCTATGCCTGTTCCTCCACCAAGGAAGAAGGATCCTAAGAAAGTTGCAGCACCAAAACCAGCTAAGCCTTCAAAAAAGTAAATTGAACTGAAAATGTTAAATTTGCTTTTATAGATTTAGAAGTTATTACTATGTTTTTGAAGTGTATGTATTTATAATGTTTAATAAAAAAAATTTATAACAAATGTTAGGTGAATTACTGTAATCATAAGTTGATGTATGTGATTATAATGCAGGTACAGCAAGGTATCAAGCATACAAGCAAAACCAATGTATTTGAACTAACCAAGAATAATTATGCAACCATTTATACATTCGAAATTTATATAATAACTTTTAATATTGATCCCACTAAATTAAACATTGTGGTTACATGTCATAATTGAATCTTGTATAAATTTGCATTTGTACACAAATTAAATATCATACTATAACCTATATTTAACTTAAAATATTTTACAATCATGAAACTTAAATGGATAAAAAAATGTACAATTTATTACTAAAACCTAATATTTATATTTATGCTTATGTTTCCGAGATACGTCCTCTCGATCTCTGTGACTGTGTTTGCTTGATCGCACTGGTGAAGGAGAATGCCTACTATGTCTATATTTTGGTGAAGGCGATTTCATTCTATATTTTGACCTAGAAAAAAAACGAAATTCTTCATCTTTAATTTAAGATATTTAAATCATTATTAACCATTTTAAAATTAATTGGTTTATCTGGTATGATCCTTTTTTTTCTATCACCAAGAGTAGTATTACTTGACCACAGTTTGTACTATAAAATATTGTTATAAACATATAATTTTTTTTTAATCTTTAATAAATCAGATTAATTCATACATTTATCATTATATATTTAATTTTAATTTGCCATTTATTATGTTTTATCTTTAATTTGTTTTGTGAATTCCCTGGTTGGGATGATATAATTTTTGATAGGTATAATGATGTTTCTGTTTATATTCTGTTGATAAAACATATTTAGTGCCAAAATATCTCAAACAAAATTAATAATCACTGTATTTTAATTTTGTCAAGTTTGCTGAGTTCAATACTAAATTTAAAAATTGTTAAATGTAAAATATGTGAAACAATATAAATTCTCACATATGCACTTCACAAAAAAAAACTATAAAAATTTAAATCATATTTTAAGAATCACAAGCCTAATGTTAAATAATAATAAAAAAATAAATACTTTAAAATAAAAGGCATTAATAATACTGTAATCTTTAATACGAGGACAAAGACTAATTCCAACTTAATATATCTCATCTTGTGGGCAAGTATTAAACAAAAAAATGTTCTTGAACGGAGGCTCAATATCAACAGTACTAACCTTTGTGGACTAGAGTGTTTATTCCTTGGTGGGCTAGGGCTCTGTAGGTACCTGCTAGACCTTACTGGAGTTGGACTTCTATGTCTAGAATACGGACTTTCATATTTTGAAGATTTTGGAGGTGAGGGCGTTTGAACACGACCACCATATTTCGACCGAACTGGTGATATGTTGTTTGAAGATTTCACTCTAGATGGGGAAGGACTATCTACATATTTCCGATCATTTGGTGATAAGCTACTCCTGTAATGTTTTCGACTGTGCGCAGGTGAGTGCTCTGGAGAAGTGGATTGTTTTCGTTTACGAGAACTTGGTGACCTTGTTCTAGAATGTGGAGATTTTGATCTTGGGCGAGATCTGGAATAGTTTGTTTAGAAAGTTTTGAATTTGCCTCAATTATAATACATTTAGTAATTATTTTTTAAAATATCTTTGTTTTTTCTTCCAATAAAATTATTGCTATAAATAAAGTATTATGTAAGTAAATAAAATATAATATGTAATATGAATAAGTTCTGTGAGCTGTAATATAAAATCTCTTTCTTCTTATTATCAATAATATTATATGAATTTAAATATCATAAAAAATGTAAAATAATCAAATTAATGGTGTATGATAGAATTGCCAGTTATGAAAATTTCAAAGCGCAGCTCACCCATGTATAATCTGTACTAGCTTAATAACAATTTATACAAACACATTTGTTTTTTATTTGTATGTTTGTATAAAACATTCTAAACTGAAGGGCTATCCAACACCAAAGACCATGTAAATGTATACAAATATAATATACTTACAAATCTCTATTAGAAGGAGAATCATACCTTCGGGACCTCTCTTTTTTATCTTTTTTCCTTCGTTTTTCTATTACCGGACTTGGAGATTTTTCTCTTTCTCTCTCGGCCTAGAAATTTAAAATATTGTAATAAGTTCAGGCACTCAAACTTTTAAAGAAAGAAACTTTAGATGGTATTAGTTAACAGATATATTAATTTCAGAAAATAAATATAGTGGCTTTCAATAAAATAATATAGACACAAATTAATATATCAGCTTAGAAGAAAATTAAGTTAAAATCATTCAAATCAGGAAGAACAACAGCCATTCAACATATGAATCAGTTGCAACCAAATTCACAAGTCTTAAATGATGATTTATTGTTATTTTTTACTTGATACTAAAAATTACGAAAAGGTCACTTCTAATTGTCTACTTGATGTTATATTGTACATGCCTAGTAAACACCGAGCGGTGGTAGCAATCTGAAATCCACATTGATCATATATGGGTGTCACAGCGCTGAAGGAACGCTTGTGGATTTCAGGTTGCTGCCGACACTCGCAACACACAGTGTTTACTGGGTGTATATGTAGCACACAATAACATCACATTGCGAGATGAATTAGTAAGTAAGCAAGAATTGAATTAGTAAGTACTGAACATTACAAATAAATAATAAATATAGTACTTATCATAAAATGTTCTTAAAAAAAGTCACAGACAATAAGTAACATACAATTCTGGTAATTACACATAATATCTATTTAAAAAAACATTACCTTTTTCAACAGTTTACGTCTATAATGTTCCACTTGTTGCTCCATAGTCCATCCGGATTTAATAGACCTTTGACCTGATTCTATTTCATCTTGATATTGCATGATTTTAACTTCTATTGAACGTAACCTGGATCGTCTCTCTTCATCCATGTCTCTGTAAACAAAAATTGACAACTAAAATTAAATCTTTTAAAAACATCATTAGATAAATACATAAGTAAATTTTCAATAAAAGCTTTAAATTTTGCAAAATTCTTAATAGTCCATATAAATCAAATACAAAGTTAAAAATTGACTTTCATTTCATAAATTAAATATTAGATCTAAAAATAATGATAGAAGTACACTGTCTGAACATATTGAAACATGCACTTTAGGCTTCACTTACCGCGTATCACCAGAACTTTGTTCATTACTGCCTCTACTGCTTTCATCACTACCATCTAATTCAGTTGTATTCTGACTTTCATTATTTTTTGATATAGTTGAATTGGGTGATTTGTTAATGGAATCTTGTGGATGATCTAATGTGTCCCATTTACTAGTAGTTATAGCTTGAGCAACCACTTGATCAGGGTCAACTGTTTCCCATCTTGATGGCACAAATGCAGCAGTCATCATTTGATTTACTGGTTTTGATACACCCTCAGTCATTGGCACCCCATCTATGTCTTCTGGAATGTGAAATATGAGTAAAATATGTTCAATATTTGAAATGTCCATTCAATAAAAACAGATTATAAAACACTTTGCATTAACCATTTTAACTAATAATACATAATGCAGAAATAATCTTACCTTCATCACTTTCAACAGTTGTCGCAGATTTATTGGTAGCAGGAAGCCCTCTAAGAAGTGCCCCTTTTAACAAAGCCGCCCCATCCAAAGGAACCCCATCTAAATCCTCATCATTTTCACCTCCTGACATAGGAGCACCATCCAAATCTTCCTCAATGGGTGAAGTATTTTCATTCTGTATAAGTAAATGTGGAATTGATTATTTTTATTCACAGTAAAAGATTCAATGCTATAAAAACTTCATTAAATGTTAATATGTCTGTATGTGTGTGCAAATAAAAATGAATGCACAAAATGTCAATATTCATTAAAAGACAATTTTAAAATGTAATTACAAAAAATAACGATGTTATTTAAAGATAATTTTTGGTTTCATTATAAAATTAAACTTATCCAAAATTAAAAACAGTAAACAGTTTTCATTTATACTTAAATAATAATCATCACTCAATATACTATTCTGATAAATTAATAATAAATAATATATCCTTTGGTTCATTTTGATATACTTACCATAGCTACTCCTAGGAAAGTATTGTTGCATTTTTCTATAAAATCTTGAGGAAATATAGCCCATTCCTCCCAAGCTTTGAAAATCAGAGAAATTCGACTCTTGAATGATTCAGCTTTTAAACGTGACTCAAAACTTTTGTAAGTACAATTAATGTAAGTAAAGATTTTTATCAATCTTGATTCAAATCTGCAAAAATATAGATTTTTTTTACATATCATGGAAACTTCATTTATAGTGTATGATTAAATCAATGGTGGTATTTTATTACATCCCATTAAACACACAATGTTGCTAACAACATTATAAGTAAGTCATCCATTGATGTCCGTGCTGTAATAAAATTACAAAGTATGTCTGGGTCAAATACAAATCACAAAGAGATTTCAAACTTGTATGTTTGTGTGTAAGACCACACACATAAAGTTAATAATCAGTGTGTCACACGAGTTGCGTCTATTTTCCGTCGCGCAAATCACAGGGAGACGATATCGGCTTCAGGCCGAATGTGATAAAGACGAGCAGCGGTAGCCACAAGTTTAACTATTGTGGCGGTATTATCACACAACACTGAACACCACGTGGTGACCACATCGCATGTTTACTGGGATATAATAAATATATAATTATAATACTATTAAATTTGACCATTTTCTTTATTTAATTTAAGTGGTATTGAATTTTTATATTTATAAAATTCATGAAAATAAACTTACGCTTTTCTGAAAAAACTTGCATTTCCTATTTTTGCTGCACAGTTTGCTAAAATGTCAGATACTAAAAATATTCGAGCCAACTTTTTAGGAACAGTTGTGGTCTCATTTGATAGTGACTCCATAATACAATCACAAATTTCATCAGCGGCATCTGCATGTTCTAAACAAAATACCATTGCTTTGGCAATTTTCATCCTTTCTGGAGTCAAGTACCGCAAATGATCCTCAAGTCGAGTTCGCTGACTAGATATAAACAAATATTACTTTAGTAATAGAAGACATTATGCACATTGTATCACACTTCTGTTTCCTTACGTTGTTGAGAGTGATCCTCTAGACGGTTCAGTTGTAACTTCTTCTCGAACTAATTCATCTGGCATTCCTTGAGTGTAAATATTCATTGGAGGCGGCTTCCAAATAGAACCACCTATAAAACAAAATAAATTATTTAAATAATTGAATTATTATTTAAATTACCTAAATGATTTGAAATCTGGCAATTATGCATAACAGCTTAACATTTAATATGAAGTAACCAAGTAACGTTAAACTGATTTCATTTCTGTTTCTTTTCAATTCGTTATGCATAGAATATACTTATACGAGGTGTGGCAATTAAGTAATGAGACTGAATATATTGCCGGGATTGTGGTGACTCTACGACCTTAAAATTGTCTTTCCCTTCTTTCGGCATCCTTCCCCTCTTTATTGATATATTTGCCATATCTTTCGCTTGTTTAGTTTGCCTCCTCTGCCTTGTTGAGTACCTGGTGCTCGTCACGAAAATGGAAAAATCGAAATAAAGCGCGATAAAATTTTGGGTAAAATTGGACGAAACAGCTTCGGAAACGTGCGGTAAAATTGTAAATATGCAGAATGATAGTGCTCTTAGTGGTGCCCAGGTATTTTGAGAACATGAGAGGAGTTCAATATGGAGGGGCGTGAAAACGGTGATTATTGTCTGTTTTAATACCCGTGAAATCGTTCACAAAGAATTTTTCAATCGCGGCAAACCGTAAATCAAGTCTACTATCGCCAAGTACTCGAAAGATTGCGAAAACGAGTCAACAGGGTGCGCTCAGACATCGCCCGTAACTGGATCCTTCATCACGACGAGGCGCCGTGCCACACCGTCCTGCATTTGGCCTCTAAAGGGATCGCCGTGTTGCAACAACCGCCTTATTTGCCCGATATGTCACCCAGTGACTTTTTTTTGTTTGCCACATTGCCACACCTCGTAAGCTACTTGTGAACTTACCGATACATATACATAATCACGTAATCAATAAGAGACGTTCAGTTATATATATAATATATCCAACTGTTTATTTCAAAAATAACATTTTATTTAAGTGTGATTACGTCTATAGGTATATAAGAACTAAAAGTAATAATCACCTTTAAACATTCTAAATTCCTGTGTACTCCATTCCTTTTGTGCTTCACCTTGAAGAAGTGAAAATAACTTCCACCTGTAGTACACATGTGCTGGACTTTGATTCTCGAATAAAAACCTATAAATAATTAAACAAGTATCAGTTTGTTGCATAACACAGAAATTGAAATTGACTATACAAAAATCATACCTAAACATTGGATTATGCATCTCCTTGTTCATAATCATTGCTTCAAACATAGGTCCCTCCCGAATTACAAATTCCACCATACGATGAATCAATAATAATAGATGTCTATAATACAACTTATAATGAGCGCGACCATAATTTTAAAACCAAATAATTTAGAAAAATCAAACAAACTCTCAAGTTTAGGAATAGATAGATTAGAATTATTTTTTGCTTTGGTTATAGAAGTAAATATTATTTATACTTTTAATACTTACATTTTTCGTGCCAGTCGATACGAACATTTTTATATAATAATTGAATTAAATTGTTGTTTAACCAATAGGCATTATTTAAATGTAGGAATTAATATAATTTATATACAAGTCAAGCAGGTTTATAAAAAATTGTTTTCTACTTAATTACATGTGTTGTTTTTATAAAATTTTACCTGTCCGTGGGTATAACGACTTTGACAACAGCCTTGTATAAAATCTGTGGGAAGCGTTGAAGTTGATGTGGAACAGAGAAGCACCAACCATATCATAATAGAATGATCCACATAGACAATTATTAGAAATATTTGAGATCAATGATTAAAACAGAATAATTATTACATAGATATATTAAAAAAATTAATATAAAAAATGTTGCTTAAGGAACTAAAACAGATTGGCAATCCAGTTCATTGTTAGACAAATGCATTATGGTAAATTTTTAACCCTGAAACTTCTCATCAATCGAATTCTTCAAGCTTCACTGATGAATAATAATTCAGCACATACTGAATACTTACACCAATGAGCAAACCAATTTTAAGAGCTAGCAATTTTGAGAAAAATAATCCTACAGAATTTGATAAAAGAAACGAGCACTCACAGAATTTATGTAAAATATAATAGTTGAAGATTTGTTTGTTAAAAAATTAGAACAATTTTGTTGTAAATTGTAACAATTGTAATATATCTGAACTATCTGTGAACCAATATAATATTGAAAACATATTACAAGTGAAAAATATTTCCGACAGAAGACTTGATCATTATTATCAAATACAATGGTACTCCGATTTACGAGCGACCCGACATATGAGTGTTTCGAGATACGTACCGCCAAAGAGACAATTTGATGCTTCAATATATGAGCAACATTCTTTCTAGAAAAGTGTCGATGGCAAATTGAAAATATGACAAACTGCGTCAGCTGTGACAATGATTTTCCCAACATAGAAATATTTTGGCTGTTTTAATTATTTTATAGCTAATCATTTCAATTAAATATTAATATTATTTGTGTAGTAAAGATTTAACCACGCGAATATATATTATATTCGCGTGGTATTATTTTAACGTTTCAAATTTTAACTATACATTAATAGTGATAGCATAGTCATATATGTTGAGTTCGCGGTTTTTGTGAATTTTCAAAATATTATTTACTTTTATAACCATGGGTCTATAGAAAAGAGCTATGTCTCTTGAATTAAATTGTAAAATATGAGAAGTATGAGGATGTACGAGCCTAACACATTATAGATATTTACTGTGTTTAAACAGTAGAGTATAAAGCCAGCTAAGGTTCTTACAATAATTTATAAGCAGCTTTCTGAACTCTAAACGCTTGCGGGTAAAAATCACCTGAGCATTGGAGTTATTCAACGAAACATGCCTAACTAATTTCCCCTATATCATGAATACACAGAAAACACAATAATTAAATTAATACACAGTGAATTTATTTTGAATATTCAAACTAACTTAATAAAACCGCAGTGGCAAAAAAAAAATAATAGCATTTCATGAATTTATATGGGAAAAATTGCTTCGGGATACGAGCGACTCGACATACGAGCATAGTTATGAAACGAAACAAACTCGTATGTCGGGGTACCACTGTATAATATAAAATTTTCAAGGTATCACAATACTAAATACATACTTAAGCTAACTATATTCAAGAACATTTCATCATAATTAAATTATTAAAGACCTCATATTCAAGGATAACAAGATGTGCAAGGATAACAAACATTGAAATTTCAGATTGTCAATTATACTTAGAATATGTTAAAACCGCTTTAAAATATGTGGTTATCCACGGTATGAATATATTAGTAAATGTACATGATAAAAACTAAAAGAAAAAAAGACCAACCGTTTAACATCATGATCAATAATTTTTGAATCCTTAATTTGCAAACTTATAGAAATCATTTTCCGAAACAATTACATTTAACTTTATCCGTAGCAATGACATGTTATACAAAAAAATTATATAAAAAAATTAAATTTTTGTGCAGGTACATTACCTTGTCAGCTGCTTCCCGATTATCTGAGTCTGTGATGTAAGTATCATCAAAATTGATGCCCTTTGCACTCAACTTAAAAAAATTAACATAGACCAACATCTTATTAAAGTTATATATGTTTCATGTAATCTTTGAAAGAAGCTAACAAAAAACTATTTAACATATAAGGAATGTGAGCTTATAATGTTAATCAACAAACATATTTGGAAAATATGATACACTCGAATTATTATTGGAGATTTATTTACCCCTGATGATAAACATAAAAAATTTAGGTTTATTAATTTCTATTGAAAACAACATTAGAATATTCACTAGGCGGCACAAAAAGTGCCTATATATATATATATATATATATATATATATATATATATATATATATATATAAAATAATATATATGCACACAAAAACATAAAATAAAATTATATTTCTTAAGACACTGATCTTTTCAATATCAAAATTCTTGGCAAAAGAAAACAAAATCTTATTATTGAAAAGCTAATAAGTCATATTTTGCTCACACCCCTTTATATGCTACTCGAAATCGTTTTACTCACGAGTTCTTTGTCACGCCTAGTTTGTTGAGCATTAAATGGTAATCCAGAAGGTGGAGGGGGCTGACTCAACTCAAGTAAGGCTGGTGGAATATATATTGGATAAGACGGTATAGAAACACATTTTCCCCAACCCAATTTCATTTCATAATGAAATACTTCTCGACCTATAAGTAAAGTGACTCATTAATAAATAATAAATATGGATTCCCTAACTAAAGTCAGATTAGTGAGACAAATTAAATTCCATTTTATAACAATGTGATGAGTAATTTTTGCTGCCTATGCATATATGTAAATACATATTTTTGTTGTTATCAACTCACACATGTTTATTCAAGAAAATATAGAACTTCAGCAATGTGAACAAACAATGAACTATACCAGAATTAATACAGAATGTCTTTAAATTATTACCATTCAAATTTTTTAAAGCTCTTTCTCCATCTTTTCTATTCATAAATGCCACAAATCCACAATTTCGCCCCCTCGCCTTCTCCTCATCTGATCGTGGCCACATAATTTTAATACTAGCAAGAGGTCCATATCTACCAAATACTTCCATTAATTGTTGTTCTGTAACCTAATGAAATAAATTAAGAAAAAGATTTAAAAGCATTCAAAAATCATAAACATATTCTAAGTTTAGCTGCAATAAATGTAGGTAAATTTTTAAAATTTTGAGGTTATCTTGTTCAATTGAAACTTAGGCAAATTGCTCTAGAGCAAATTGACAGTAACAACTAGCAGTCTATTAATTGGTTCTTAACTAGCATATTAATAATTAAAATTACAATATATAAAATATGTAGCTAAATAATATCTTACAAAAAACAATTATTAATTGTGATTGAAACTTAGCTCAAATAACAATTACATTTAGAGAAACATTACAATCATAGTTGTAGCAGTATGAACAGGTTTAGCACATCACACATCATGTAAAGAAACAGTTTATACAAATAAATTTGAATAATGTAAAATATTGTTAAAACTTTTAAATAATTGATTGAAGTGTTTATTGATGCATTTTAAATTCGATTTATTACTTAGATATGTTCAAATTATATGCTATTAGCAATTTTTCACTTTAATTAATTTAAAAACTAAAGAAATAAACTGCATGTAGTTCTGCATCCAAACCGAACACATAATACATTTAAAACGCTAAGAATGATATAATGATATAAAATTTATAATGCTATTCTGCATTCATATTAAGTCCCCAATGTTGTGGAATTCTAACACAGCACAAAAAAATGAAAATTTAGATTTTGCAGATAATATTTTACATTTACTTATTCAAGTTTGAAGCAAAACTAAAGTGTGAGAAGTTATCAGACATCATCATAAATTTAACCCCAGTCTTTATGAAAAATACAAAAATTTAATGAACATCAAATACAATTAAAATTATTTCTCTTACATGAGGATTAACATTTCCAAGATATATATTTGTAGTGTTTGGATCACCATTATCAAATGAGCCTATATCTGCAGGCATAACATCTTTAAAAATATCCTTATCGGGTTCCACAGGTACAAATGTTTTAATGGCTTGTTTATATCTTTGCCTCTCTTCTCTTCCTTCTTGGATCCTGAAGCACAGAACGAGTTTTACAAAAATTAATTTTAAAATTAAATATCAACTATGCATACATTTTTAATTCTTCTTTGAACATTTCCAAGTTGCTTTTTTTCTTGTCTTTCTCCTTTTTTTTACCAAGCCGATCGGGTTTTTGATCATTTGATGACAAGAGCCTAGCATATTCCTGTGCCCTTTCGGCTGATGTTTTTTCATGCATCTCACTAATGCGAGATGTAGGTTTGTACAGCTTGCCTTTATCTTTAGTGTCTTCCTCTGTAGGTTAAACATATTAATACCAAAATTCACACATAAAGAGTAAACATATTTATGAACTTTATCGATACTCCAGTATGATATAAAGTTTAACATTATTTAAATAATGTTTTCTTTGCACTAATGTACACATACTTCTTGCCCCAGCATCATAAGTCCCCGCTTTAATCCATACTTTATTAGTCTTGTTTGGAGTTTCTTGGAAAGTCTCCACAAATTCTTGGAACGCCTGGGAATACAAAAGTCACTGAACATATGCTTCAAGTACTGTAAAAGCTAAATAGTACTTTCAATTAACAGTACTTAATACATATTAAAAATGATTAATCAAAGTTTCAGCGACAAAAGAGAAAACAAAAACAACAAAAAGAAATTAAATGTTAAAAGAGTAGAAAATTAATAATCATGAGATGTTTGTAACATTTTTTTTTTAATTAAACGAGATATAAAAATTTATAAAATAATGTAATTATAGTTATATAATATGGATGCAATATAATAGTATTTAAATAAAGTGCTCGAAGTGCTATGAGCATAATAAGGTACAGTATCATACATATTTCAATAAATTATGTTTTGGTCTAATAATGCAAATTGAAATTAATTTACTATAATTCCTTATATATTTCTTTCTTTTAGTTTTAGTTTTACAAAAGTTGTTTTTACAATACTTAATAAGTATTGACCTCACCCGATAGTAAAGAATTGGTTTTCAATTTCAAGAAGAAAATAATTTTATATTTTGAAAAAGTTGTGGAGTATGTAAAGTAGATAAAAGCACAAATAACTGAGCAAAAACCTAAAACCTAGTATAGTAGAATATACTAATTATGATTGATGTGTAATTTGATTTTGTAATACCTAAAGCTTTTTGTTCTAGAACTTCTTATTACATGTGGTATTTAGATTCTCAAAAATATTCTTAAAGAAAATCATTATAGCCTAAAGTGATAATACACTGGTGAAATAATTTAACTGACACTAGTAACTTACATGGGCCGCAGCTTCATCTTCTTCCTTTTTACGTTGTTCTTCCAATTCTTTTTTTGACAAGACTCTTTTGCCCATGGTTCCTATAGAAAAAGCTTCAAGCTTTTTCTCATTAATTTTCTGTATAAAATAATTTTTATTCAATTGTTTTGAATTTAAAATTCATTGAACTCACTCATAACAAACCTTAATTTTCCTATCTGCCATTTTTGTACGGAATAATTATTTAACCTAAATACACAAATAAAACACTTCAACTAACACGAAATTTTTCTTATATTAAGTTTTAGGTGAATGGTAACTAGATATCCTAATTTTAACGTTTACATACATAATTATGTATCAATCACACTAACTTTTATTATAAATCTGATTTTCTGAAGTGAACACGACTGATATGAAGTTCATCAAACAAAATGTAAGCGGCCCGCGTCACCAACCAAAAGTGATCAAAAACTGATGCCGACAAAGAATGCCGCGCCATTTAAACGATTTAAATAGTCGGGAGCGATTTAAACCACGATTGAATTAAAAATCATTATTGAGTTAAATGTTAAATTTGAAAAAATAATGCTTTTGCAGACAAGAAAAATTCATAGAGTGTACAACATATTGTTAATTGTTCGGTAGATATTTGCGGTTTTTATAATATCTTCATCTCTCTCTTATGTAATTTACATTTTCTTTCCCAATTTCTTCAGAAATTATTCCTTGAGCATTAAAAGGTATATCGCAATGCTTTAAAATCATAAAAATATCTCAAAAACCATAAAACATTTTTATTTCTTATTATACTCAAACGAAAATGAATATGTTTTCTTCCCTTTATGCTTAAAACGATTAAGAAATATAAAAATAGCAATTATTGATCTCATTCAGTAAAATAAAATATTTTTAAAAATAGTTCGAAAATCGAATTTATGAATTTAAATAATTATTTTGCAACTGTTGAGAATGATAGTTTTTAAAATAATTGGATTTTTTGGCAACAGAGTAAAATAAATTCCGATAGTTTTAGAGGTATTAAATTTTAAAATGATCGACATAGAAGCTAAAAAAATCATCACAGATTTCTGAAAAAATTAAAATAAATAGACGCAACACAAGATCAAATACTAATTGTAAGTAGTTTTAAAGAATTTTCACCACTATTTACGATTTTTAGTGTGATTTTTTTATTCAGTCACTAGCGGCGGTGTTGCAGATAAAATTTGAATTTTATTACATTATTAACTATAAATTTAACCTTATTAAGTCAATATATATAATGCATTGATGATGAATATAAATTCATAAATTGTGGTGAGGTGAGGATTTTTAACAAAAGTTAATAGTAAATCTTTAAGGAATTTTTATGCCATTCAATTTTATTGAAATTATTTTTTTATGTTTTTCTAAATGCATAATTTAATGCCAAAATTTTATTCATAATACACTAGTTGTCAAATTCTTGTTATTTAATATTGATTTTTTTTGTTTTTATAATAAATACGCATTAGTTCAGTGGCATCATCTTTATACTACAAATATAGTAGAAGTAGTATAAAGTCTATGGACATCATATATCTTCTAAGCATCCACAAACTTTTTGTTTGCCGATCATTAATAAAAATTGAATGAATAAATAAATTACATTCTCAGATTTCAGGTTTTTCATAATGTTTCATTACTATTCTCTATTATAACATCTTTATATTCTCTTTATGATATTTTAATAGCAAGATATTTATTTATAATAATATGCTAAATTTACTTTATAATAGTAAAAAGCTTGTTGCTAAAGCAATACTTATTGTAAAAAAAACTGCTCGGTCCATCGCATTTCCAACAGTAACCCATGAACTCTCAGACTTGGACACGCTCATTAAATTTTCATATAAATCTCCCTGCAATGTATGCAATTATAAAAAAAGGTTAAACCCATATTCAAATTTAACATTATATTTTGTTACCTGAATAGAAGACAAACACATTAACCATTTAATTATTTTATAATTCAAAAAATTAACTAAACAAGTTGGTGGAGCATGCACTGGAGGAGCCTTTCTAAACCAGGATCCCAATACAGCCATCATTAACATTATCCATGATATAAAATATCCCAGGACATATAAGTTAACTGAAATTTTCGATACACTATTAAGATATCATTATTGATAAAAAATCTTCGTAGATCACAAGCATTTTGTGCGGAATTAGATATTAGCCGCAATTGTACAAATTACCTAAAATTGGAACATGTGTATGGTGTGCTGGTGCCAGATGAACCATCATTGCAAAAGGTGGAGTCAAAATTAGTGCTCCTAAGCACACAACAGAAGTTCTGAGACCATCTTTCATCCAGAGCGATAACATATTCAATATTAAAGATGCTAAAATTAATAAATGCAAATCAAATGATATAACAAACAGGATAAAACCATAAATTTATATCTGGTAAAAATAAAGATACCAGGAAAATTGGTTGAAAAATCTACTTAAAAATTCATATACCTACCAATAAATGGTGCACGAAATAATATATTGAATACATTTGTCTTTCTACGCAATTCTAAATTAATTATTGTAGCTCTAGTTGTAATATCCGTGACATTGTACATAGCATTTCTAGCGAATGCCGAAGTCACTAACCAGTCGGTTGTAGAGTGGTCTTTAGTCTATAAAAAATATTCGTAAAAAATTACATTTATTCTGTTTCTTTGTTTTCCTTGAATTGATCTGTTCAAAAGCAGATCTTTTTGATGAATCTTAAAATTAATTCAAGAACATTTTAGTGCGACAGATCTTTATAGTCATCATACAGTAGTGGCTAAGTGAGTTATTTTCAACTGTTTGTAAATTCGATATTTACCAATTCAAAACTGAACCCAAAGTATACTGGTGATTCATGATGAGAGGACCAAGCGGCTAATTTGATTTCACAGATGTGCTTATCATTAGGCCAACTGGTAATGCCTTCTCCAAGATTACACCAGGATTGGTAATGCACCGGAACATTCCACGACACAACTCCCTTGTAAGTAGCTTCAAGCAGAGAATTTTCTAATATATCAGATCCAGAACTTCTAGCAGCACTGGAAGTAAAATTGGTGTTTGTGGTATATATATTTTATATTGTTCAGTTGAGATGATAAAAGGAGAAATTGCATAGACAACTCACTTTGGATTTTTAATCAAATCGAAAAAAAATAATAATAAATACTAAAATATGTTAATGTTTTATTTAATTTTTCTATTAGACATGCCAATTTTCGATTAGTTCTTAAATAATTTATTTCGAAGGAATTGAATTATATTATTAAAATATAAGATTATATACTAAATATTCTGAGATAATTACAAAAAATATATTATAAATTAAGATAAACGTATAATATTTTTATATGGTGTTAATATATACTTTTGTAGTGTTTCTCAAAAATTCTGTAATTCCTTTATTCTATAATTTATATACATCGATAACAATGGAATAATATACCGATAATTGTTAATAATGTAATAACTTACTTTAATAAATATAATGGAGGTTGCCAAATGTCACGAGCATTAAATTTGATAACAGTCAAATTGTTGTAATCATCAGGATTCCATAATAGCCTATTATCTATCCAAGACTAATATAAATAGATAATAAAAGCATTATATTTAAACTGTATTTTAATTTATGTAAATTGCATGCTAAATACGAACCATTTCTATTTTACCTCTAACATCTAAAACAGCTTTTTGAGCGTTTAGGAAACTCGGGAGATTACATGATGGGCATTGATTTGTTTCCGTTCATCTGATACAACAGGAATCATATTAGTGTCATAATTTTTCAATAGGTTGGCAGACAGTTGCTCTCGAATTGGACGGACTTGCATGGAATCTTGACAAAATAGAAAAAAATTAACAGCGAATACATAAAAACATCCAAACAGTGAGCTTTCAAATTTTAAGAAAGATGGCGGTGACACTATTATTTAAAACTTCTGCAAAACAATGATGCCATTTAAAGTATTCAAAAATCATCAAAAACGTTGCAATGTAAAAAATGTAAAAGCTTTTGTGTGCGACGTTCAAGAAACGTTTATTAAAATTAAAAGTAATTGAAATAATATTGATTATTAACTTGTATCACTAGCTAGTCCATAAGGATCTGGGCAATCGTACAACCACGATGCTTTCGAAGAACCCCATGAACTCAAACTAAAATATTTTATATTTAACGGATTGGGATCCTTTGTTGCCATAAAAGGTAGATCTTCCCCTTCTCTTCCAACTTCAATTGAACCATCTAAAATATAAAAATATATTTGATTTTAATACTTTTATAAATAATTCGAAATAAATCAAATTAATGATAATATTAACATTATCAATTGCGCTAACTTAATATACCTGAGCTAATTTTGACCCAAAACACGGTGTATCGTATAGCAGAGAGAAGATTTGTGGTACGAACTGATTTGATTCCATTTTTTCGAAGAGCTCTTCTTATTTCAGAGTACGAGTTGCCACCAGCACCCAATACTGCAATAAATGACACTAATTTTAATATTTTAATACAAAAAAAGATCAAAATTTGAAGAGTGGTGATGCCTGTTTGAATATTTTTGCTGTTTATTTTGTGTGTATTGGGTAAATGAGAAATATTTCAAAACAGCACTATTTTTGAGATGCTCATAAATTCGTGTTGTGATATAATAAAATATACAAAAACGATGATAAAATAAAACTTATGCCTTCAGGCATCGTGTCTGAAGGCAAATTGCAGGAACTTTCTATACCATAATTTAAAGTTTCTAAAAGCTCAGAAATAAAAAATTAATTTTTTGCTTTTTCGAAAATAATATTTTTTGAATTTTTTAAAAACTTGGCAATTTTGTAAAAACTATTATTTTGAAAATTCTTGAAAGTTATTGATACCCATTCATGTCGGTTGATCCAAACTGTCAAAAATATCTGATTTTCGACCGCCAAATGTTTTTTTTTTTTTTTTTTTAAAATTTCCGGATCTCCGAAACCGCTTAACCTGCCTTTGTAAAAATTTAATCAATTTTTCATTACGTCAATAAAAGTGATATGTTTTCCGAATCATTCAAATCGGATGTTTCGTTTTTTCACAAAGTTAATTGCCATTTTCTGCACTCTTTGCACGGTATTACCTAAACTGACCAACTTGACCAACTTTTGCCAAAAAACTAATCTGTATATTTCCTTATCAATAGGAATCGAATGCTTTTTGAATAATTTAAATCAGTTAAGCGGTGCTGCCGAAAACATCGACTACTAACAACATACATTATGTATGTTCGGATTCAATTTTTCGTGGGTATGTATGTATGATACATACATACCCAAACACAAACCAATCAGTTCAGCCAAAAATGTTCAGATACGGTTGAAACATATATAAAAATTTTCATTTTCGATTTTTGGACGATTACTACAACTTTCCCTACGATAAGTGAATATAGAAAAAGATACCTATTTCATATACCGGGTTCACTGCATTAGCATTTGGATGTTCGGTGAACAGAATATGTGCATCGGCCTTTGCTAAAACTCCAATATGCATATGGACGTAAACATTATTTGCATCCGGTGGATGATAGGTTGATGTTAAATTCGAAGAATTAATAACAGACAGTGGCGATCGGCTATGTTGAAGATCTTCCAGTTGAAAGAATGTTTTATAAGCATATCCGTCCAATGTGTCAAAAAACTTACATTTGGCAGCATCTTAAATCATATTAAATAATTCAAATTAACTATTTCATAAAACATACTTGATAAAAAACAATAATTTCCATGCAATTTTCAATCATTTTGAATATAAATAGATTACCATAGAGGTCGATAGATGATGATTTTTAAAAGTTATTAAGATGAGGTGAGATAAAACCCTTTCAAGTTAATTCAAATTTATTATGTTAATGAGGTATAATTTTGATATTATCACTTACATAATTTTGCAATACGATTGTAGTCTTAAATTTTATACGGGTTTTAATTAACATTTATTCATTATAATACTGAAATCCGAAAAAGTATTGCTGCTCATATCATTTTTAAATACGTTATTAAGAACTTAGAGTGAAGTTTTATTAATAAGAATATATTTAAAAACAAATAATGACACGTAACTTTGAAGGCACTTAAAGGTAATAATTTATTTATATAGATATTATTTGTTTAGCGAGCAAAAATGTAATCGAACAGGAAACTTACAAGCTAACGTATTCCACAGAATACATTATATTAGTATTTAGCACAATCAAGTAGGTATATATTTTATCGAATTATTTTGTTGCCAATTTATAAGCTTGAATATATGTTCTATTGGTAAAAAATAAATTTGATATGAAATAAAAAATCACAAATCCTGAAATACTTCAAAAACCAATAAATAAATTTTATAAGTTGCCTTCACTATAATAAATGAATTTTACTTACAATTAAAAGTGAAATTGAATTCTGCGACTGATATATTCAAAATTGACATAAATAAAAAAACACAAATTAAACGATTTTGCATATTTATCATATTATAGGTTAAACAATTATAACCAAGTGATATTAAATGTATACTGAATGGCAAAACGAGAAACTTCTGCAGGAAGCTGTTCTAGCAGTTATCTGTTTTAGTTTATCTACCAACTATTCATCAGACGAATAAAGGCTTTATTAAAATGAATTCTCCTGAATATATATATATATATTATATATATATATATATATATATATATATTTATATAATATATATATAGTAAAGACTAAAAATTAAAGTACCTAATTTTCATTTTAACATTTCGTTACATAATCCATTTATTTATAAATTTTATTATACATTATATCTATTCCACTCATTTATAATTTCATTGTTTATAATTCAACCCACTATTTTTTTATTTACCCGTCACTACATATATTATTGGTTTAGTTTGTTTATTTTCTAATCATCCGTATTACAGAAATTGTAAAACTAAATTCAGCAAACACAGACAGGCCAACCGTTAGGCCTTTGCCAAAAACTAACCAGCTCATCTCCCCATCAATTGCAATCGAATGTTTTTTGAACCATTCAAATCGGTTGATTCGTGCGCCCGAAAAAATGCGGACATGCAAAAAACACACAGACACACATCCATTTTTATAGGCATGCCAAAATGTTCAGATACTTTTGAAACGTGAATATATGCAAAAATTTTCATTTTCGATTTTCGACTCATTACTATAACTTACAATATGGGAAGTTTAAGTCAATATTTAGTTCAGAACTACTTAGAAATCTGGCTTTTTAGATTCATTGCTAATATTGTAACATAACTTACATTGAAAAAATTGGCCAAAATGTAACTAATTTTAAATTATAGTAATGTACAGTGTAAGTGTAACTATGATGACAGAGTATAACACAAATTTTGATTTCAAAATTTATTTATTTATTTTTTTATTTAATGATTTTATTACCATTTGTTTTAGAAACTAAATATGGAAGCGCATAAGCGCCGCGTTGTAGTCTAACGGATAAACATTGGAATGATACCCATAGAAATGCAAACCAAAATTGTACTTATTATTAAAATCTCTATAAAATATCTGATAAATTGATTTACGTATCTCTAATGATCATTTTTATTTTACATTACAAATTTTAGTGGACGATTTCGGGAACACGGATCAACCGATTTGAATTATAAAAAAACATCCGATTCGTATTGATTGGGAGATGTGCTGATTAGTTTTTGGCAAAGGCAGGTCCATTCGCAGTGCAAAAAATGGCAATTAGATTTTGAGAGAACGGAATTTAAATGATTCAAAAAACATTTTAGTTGTTTGGACAAAGTAAAGATTTGATAAAATTTTTGAAAAGCCAGTTGAAGCGGTATCGGAAAACCAATAAAAAAAGTAAACTAGTGGTGCATGAGATCGAGTGAAAGAACGATGCGCATCGTGAAAAAGATGATCATTGGACATATACACATCAAATTATCAGATATTTTATAAAGATTTTAACAATAAGTATGAGTTTTGTTTACATTTCTATGTATTCCATACCAATGTTTTTCCGTTAGACTAGGACGCGGCGCTTACGCGCTTCGATATTTCTTCTCTAAAATTATGATCTTTTTTTCAAACCAATCGTGCAGCGTGCCTGTTTTGAAAATTAATTTTCAAAAAAAATCAGAATGTAATTTTTTTTTCAAAAAAGTCATTATTTTCAAAATTTTCAAAAAATTGTAAAGCTTTCTCAAAAAATTTAATTTTTTGTACGGGAAGTTCCAGCAATTTGCCTTGAGACACGATGCCATGCACCACTAGTATTTTTTGGATTCACTATTTGAAGCAGGCAAAAATCGATTAAAACAATTTAAAACTTTTTCATAAGTACCTGTTTGCAATTTCGCGTTTTATGCCAACCCTGCACTATTTCCGACGACTCACGATGCGTTTGCAGGCACGATGTTCGAAGCGAATTTATCAGTGTGATCAGTGAGTTCGTCGTCTGTCAAACTGTTCACACGTTGGTGTCAACGTTCAATAAAAATAATTAGTAAATTAGCGCATTCGTGCAATTTTACCGGTTAGATTCAATGTTTATGCGTTCATTTTTAAGTGTATCGCGGAAATCGTTTTCTACCGACATGGTTAAAGCTAAGAAATTCATTTACGCGAAACGGTTTGAAGGCGAACCCAAGTTGACTGATTTCAAATTGGTTGAAGAAGAGTTGCCAGAGCTGCAGGAAGGAGGTTAGAATAATGCATTAAATAAATTTGAATACTGATAAATCATATACTTCCAATATTTATTTCGCTGATATTAATTTAATAAAAACATTCAAATGTTTTCTGTTATTTAAACCCTTCCCGTGCCATTTAGCTCACGGAACTTGGGCCCAAGTGTTAAGTGTTAACGCTTCCTAAGCTGATGCTTGAGATTAAAATATATACATGTCTAGTATATATTTTGAATTTTGTGTACAATTTGTAAATTTCGACTCCAAATTGAGCTTATTACTACCAAATAATATAACCACTTACGATTCCGGCTTTGTTTATGTTTGAGCCGGCTATCTATTCACGGGCCTAGATCGCCATATTCATTTTTGGGACAAAATCTTCATCATGAGCCAGACTTGTCAAAGCACGGGAAAGGTTAAGGTGATATTCTAGTCTTGAATTAAAAAAATGATTTTGTTCTTTTTGGATATTCTCAAAGTTTATCCGTTTACGAATATGCTTGCAAGAGGATGTTTCAAAATTTAAATTGTTTTCGGAGATATACATGTTTAGGTACGATTATCCTTTCTGTTTCCTCCCTCAGCGAAACTTCATGCGTTTTTCTCGACACTGTCTTTAAGATACGATACCCACGATTTCTCAACTTCTACTGAACCGTTTTACTTGTTTTTACAGAGTCTTCTTTATAGTCAACCACGCTCATCTTCAAATTCCGATTTCGTTTTTTTCTCAATTCGACAAATATCAAAAAAGTTGTAAAAAAATTTTTTTTAGACAGTCGCTAATTTTCTTACACTTCAAACAGTTTGTCCAATTTTATTTGTATTGTGATTTATATATTTAAAAAATCACATCGCTTTCCTGGTCAGTAATTTTGTTAACCTCAGTGGTAATTTTTTAACTTCCCGTAGGGCAAGTTATAGTAATCGCAAAAAAATCGAAAATAATTTTTTTTATATATCTTTACGTTTCAAAACCTTCTGAACATTTTGGCATACCTTAGAAAAAATGGATGTATGTGTGTGTGTGTGCGTGTATGTATGTATGTGCGTGTATGTATGTGTGTGCGGATACAAATTTTCGTAGACGATTTCGGGAACACGGATGAAGCGATTTGAATAATTTAAAAAACATTCGATTCCTATTGATAAGGAGACGTGCTGATTAGTTGTTGGCATAGACAGGTATAGCCGTTCCGAAGATATGGGGCAAAAAGTGCCAAAAACGGTAACTGCGTTTTTAAGAGAACGGAGCGTCCGATTTGAATAATTCTGAAAACATTTTACTTGTATTAACAAGATGAAGAACTGATCAAATTTTCATAAAGGCAGGTCTAGCGGTTTTGGAGATCTAGTAAAATAAGTAAAAAAAAGTCATCTGGCGGTCAAAAATGATCATTAGACATATGCACATCAAATTATCAGATATTTTATAGAGATTTTAAAAATAAGTATAATTTTTGTTTATATTCCTATGGGTTCCGTACCAATGTTTATCCATTAGACGGCGACGCGGCGCTGACGCGCTTCGATAATTCGTCTCTATGCTGTTAAAGCGTACGATTACTTTAAAAAAAGTTCAGAATTTCCAAAATATTTCAAAATAAATTTTTCCTCAAAGTTTTTTTTCCAAAAAAAAGTAAGTTTTTGTTAAAAATTTATAGTTTCTTAAAATCTAATTTTTTCAGAGTAAATTTTTTTCAAAAATGTTAATATTTTAAAAAATAATAATTTTTGGTACGGGAAGTTCCAGTAATTTGCCTTAAGGAACGATGCCATGTGCCCCACTAGTTTACCTTCCTAATGAGTTCGATGTGAAAACATGAAGCGCACCGAATATAAAATGTTGATGGAAGGTAATCCATTGAAACATTGCATGATAACCGTTTTGCTGTTTACAAATACCATCATTGTGATAGCGCGTTGAACATTGCTCTTGTTTTGACTTCGATGCGATGGGTGCGATTCAAATACGATATTTTTTTTTAAGAAATCAACCTGATCGTATTACGGAATATGTATTGACATTCTTCTTCATTCGATATTTGATAGGTGCGAACTTTATTGTCTGTTACCTTATCTTAATCTAGTAGGGATAGTGTTCTCCGAAACTTTGATATGTATAATTGATTGTTCGTTGATTGCCATATAGTGTATTGAATTTTGTTACAAAATATATTTCATAATTTAATACATTTTTAAAACAATAAATTCTAATATAAATGCATTCACCATCAAAATATGAGGTTCTAATGATTATTTTCACTAGCCCCAACTAATGTAAGTAATTGACTGAATAAATAAAATATTCTTTTAATCTAAAAATCAGTACGCAAAGTTTACCAGGTACTTCTCCGAATCCTATTATTAATTATTCTTCACGAAAAATGCGCAAAAACGTTGTTGAAATATCGCAGTTACTTCACTGCTTATGCTTCTCTATCTATGGGTTATATTCTTGATTTTTGCAAAGAAAAAGTTGAAAATAAAGATGAACATTGCCAAAGAATATTTGCAAGAATATTAGTAATTACGAAATTAGTATTATATGCTACAATTATGAAAAAAAACGTAACTGCCACTACTATTAATGTAGATTGGCTACCTCAAATTGATATATTTATACAGTATTTTGATTGCCCCTTAATAAAAATACATAAATGAACTAGTGGTGATGGCATCGTGTCTTAAGGAAAATTGCTAGAACTTCCCACCATAATGAAATATTTGAAAAATTTAAATGTTTTTCAAATAGATTGTTATAGATACTGCGACTTTTCATTCGTATTTTAAGACGCACTTTTGATTCCAAAAAATATGACTTCATAATGTTGCACAGAAACAAAATTATACAACTATTTATAGATCTTTAATACATGTTTCCACGATCTTGATTTTTAAATAATGATTGCAATTAACCGTTCATGGCGCGGTGGGGAGATCGGTTCGAACGTGGGCTAGCACCAACCAGTCCCAGGTCCCTGGTTCGATTCCCGCTACCGCAAAGCCCGACATCAGGCAACTTGATGTCAAATTTCTACTTGAGGTTTAGATCTCAAATATAACCTTAAGTGAAAATTGCTTCTCGTGGGTATAGTTGTATTTTATAATAAAAATGTCAGCAAATAATTCGAGTATAGTTAATTAGTCATAATTGGATTGGACAACTACTGGGTTGCCATCCATTCAAAAATCCATATAATAAAGTTATAACATTACTGAATATTCTAAGTGTGACAGATTGTAATTAAAATCCATATATTCTATATTTTTCACATATTTCGAGAATTTATTTAAAAAATTATGGAGATTCTTCATGACGCAACAAATTCATCTTATCAATCAACCTCGTTATAGATTAAAAATCTTTTAGCCGATAAACAAAAAGATAGCCGAAGACGGCAAGTAGTTAGGTACCTATACCTGATAATGGATTTTATAATTAGAGTAAAAAAATAAAATATTGACTTATAGAACTGCTTCATTATTCTAACAATAAATCTTAATGTCTCAGTCAATATCCCATCATGCCACCCACTCGTAATATCGCCATAAAAAATAATATTTAAAAATATTTTGAATAATAAAATTGTGACTTTTCAAGAAAAGGATTTTGAGATATATTTTCTATTAATCATAATATGTTTTCAGAATACCTTTGCGAAGCCCACTACCTCAGTGTCGACCCCTACATGAGGGCATACATGATTAGGTATCCCGTCGGAGTGACCATGATCGGAGCACAAGTTGCAAAGTAAGCATGAGTATTTACTAATTTTGTAAAACAAATAAATTGCATCTATTATGTAATTATTTATGTTAATTAATTAAATAATTGCTAGACGACCTTGATGAGCTACATGCAAATCAAATGCACACATCACACATGCGCATTTTATTATTTCCAATGAATATACAAGAATTTCTTAAATTCTTTTGTCATCATGAATTCAAATAACTATGTCTACTGATAATTTTTAATTAATCTTCCCATATTAGTCCCATTTTAAAACTCTGCTAATTGCAAATTACATGTGTTGATCACAGTACTTGGAAAAGAAACATTGTTTTCCACAGTCGATATGAAATCAAATAAAATGAAATCAGGTTCCAGAAATTATCAGCAAGTTATTGTTTTAACCAATAAAATCACTGCGTGACAAAATTAGTACTTTTAATTTTTTCCAGGAACTTTTTCTTCAAATCTACTTCGAATTGTACGCTGGTTTCAAATGTACTTTCTGTTTTATCGTAACAGCTCCCGTTTTCGAGTTTTAGGGAATTACCCTCATTAATCATTTCGGGTATGATAATCGCTGTTTAAAAAAAAAAGTAAGTTTTATCCCCTTTCTTTGATATGGATTATAAGACGTTGTGTGCATAATTCGACAAACACCGAAAACATATATCTAACCGCGTAAAGACAGCGTATTTCAACCACTTTAAAACTGAATTGCGCAATAAAGATAAACATGGGTTCTTCATACTATGTGAAAAAAAATGTGCAGTGTGTTCACGTTAATATCCCAAAGGAAAAAATGCTATGAATATAATAACCCCGTCATTTGGAAAAAACCTTAATCACCACGACGGATGTTTCCTCTGTGCGGTAAATATCAATGTATTAAATTCAAACAATAGAAGCGAATGGTCATATCTCAAGACTCCAATGGTCTTGGGATCTATTTACAATCAGCCTGCGCAACCCCTATTCATGCTAATGATGAAGAACCTAGAACATCACTATATTCTGTCTACCATGTTATGGATTGAGAGACAAACGTTAAAAAAGGAGCCAGGAGGAGGAAAAGTTAAAAACTGGTAACATATTTGATGATCCCCAAATCGGCAACTCACGAAAAATACTAGTGAATTCTATTAATAAATTTGAGAAGAAAACCAAGGAGCCATTCGTTTTAACAATGACGATCATGTTATCCATAATCTAGAATGCAACATAAGCATCAATTTATTATCTGCACTCTCATTTAGAAAGGTTTTTGAAAATTTTGGAGATGTTAGCGAAGAGCAGAGCGAGAGTATCTAACAATAAGATATCAGGACTATGGCGGAGCGATATCAAGGGAGGACCGTCCACGTTGATGGCTGACAATTGTTAGAGAAGGATTACTACATAGAGTAATAACCAAATATTTGTACAAATTTAGGCGTTCGATTATATAGAAGAACGAATTCATATCGTTGTTGACCACATTTGTATTATTAACTTCCCGTAGGGCAAGTTATAGTAATCGCAAAAAAATCGAAAATGAGAATGTTTATATATCTTTATGCTTCAAAGGTTTCTGAACATTTTGGCATACCTTTGCCAGAGAAAATGAATACATGTATGTGTGTGTGCGCGTGTGTGCGGATACAAATTTTCGTTGGCGATTTCGGGAACACCGTTTAACCGATTTGAATAATTCAAAAAACATTCGATTCGTATCGATCAGAAGACGTGCTGATTAGTTTTTGGCGAAGGCAGGTCTAGCCGTTCCGAAGATACGGGGCAAAAAGTGCCAGAAACAGTTTTAACTCCGTTTTAAGAGAACGGAGCGTCCGATTTTAATAATTACGGGGCAAAAAAAGAAACAGTTTTAACTCCGTTTTAAGAGAATGGAGCGTCCGATTTTAATAATTCAAAAAACATTTTACTTTCATTAGCAAAATGAAGAACTGATTGAATTTTCAAGGCAGGTCCAGCGGCTATGGAGTTTCAATAAAAAAAATTAAAAAAATGCCATTTGGCGGTCAAAAATGATCATTGCACATCAAATTATAAGATATTTTATAGAGAATTTAATAATGTGTACACATTTTGTGTCAATTTTTTTGAGTTCCGTACCAAGATTTTTAATTTTAAAATTCACGTATATGGTTCAAACAAATGTTCTCAACATCTTCGACAGTATGGAATAACCCATTTGTATGATTAAAAAATCATTTGGTTCGTACTCGATCGCGAAGTGTTTTTGTAAAAGGCAATTTTGCCGTTTCGGAAGAATGGAGCGCAAATGAAGGGTGTAAAAACGGCCATGCAGTTTTTGAGAGAACGATCATTCGATTAGATTAATTCAAAAAACATTTTTTGCTTGAGTAGACAGTGTGCAAAAAATGCATTTACAGAAAATTCAGTAATTTTGAAAATTTTCAAAATTTTCAAAAAAAATTCAATGTTTCAAAAATTCAAATTTTCGAAATTTTTTTTTTCATAATTTCAAAAATATCAAAATTAAAAAAAAAATCAATTTTTTAATCAAATTTTCAAAAATTTAGAAAAAACTTTTTAGATTCCAAAAAATTTACAAAAAAATGAACAAATTTCCCGTAAACATACACATCAGTGGTTTGTAGAATACGCTCGTCGCTCAATATCATAAGCACTTATAAATTTACAGTATGTATTTATAATGAATAATTTATTTAAAAAATTGTTGATACACACAATTATTGATAATTTTCATTCTTCAATGTTTAATTACGGTACGGGAGGTTCCAGCAATTTGCCTTAAGGCACGATGCCATACACCCCACTAGTTATACTATCACTGAGTCTATAAGGTTTAGATTTATCAATAATTGTTTTTTTGGGTACCTATTATTTTTAATGCTCTACCCGAAGGCAGGTTCTTTCGAAAAATCGAAGGATTAACTTGAATGCATGTTTATCATTTTATAGAATTCTGGTCAGTCGAAATCCTAAATTTCCGGTCGGTAGATTCGTTTGTGGAGATTTTGGGTGGACTACTCATACCATTATGGGCCAAAACAAAAAGGAAGGAATGATGACTGAACCATACCTCCTACCGGAATTGGGTGGAATTTCACCATCTTTATGTTTGGGAGCTTTAGGAATGCCGGGGTAATTTTTTTTAAATATAAATTATAAATAGAAAGTAATAATTATTTTTAATTTTGTAATAATTCGAATTTTATTATATTACAAAGCAAGAAAGATGTTGCTATATTTTAAACCTGATAGAACTAAAAATAATACTAGATAATTAGATATATTTATAAAAATATGCGTGGAAAATTATCGTTTTTACGTGCATTTTTAGTAACACGGCATATTTCGGCTTTTTGGAAATCTGTCAGCCTAAAGAAGGAGAAACTGTCGTTGTCACTGGAGCTGCTGGAGCTGTTGGTAACCACGTTGGACAATTAGCAAAAATTAAAGGTACGGCAGAAGTATTACTTGAAGTTCACTCTTTTTAACTTCTCGTAGAGTAAGTTATTGTAATCGTCCAAAAATTTAAATTGAAATTTTTTACATGTCTTTACGTTTCAAAGGTTTCTAAACATTATGGCATACCCCAGAAAAAATAGATGTGTGTGTATATGTATGTATGTGTAGATACAATTTTTTGTCCACGATTTCAGGTGCAAGATCAACCGATTTGAATAATTCAAAAAACATTCGATTCCTATTGATAAGGAAACGTGCTGATTAGTTTTTGGCAATGACGGTTTCAACCGTTTCGGAGATACGGAGCAAAAAGTGCATAAAATACCAGGTATTCAGAGAACGGATCATTTAATTCAAAAAACGTTTTGCTTGTGTTGACAGTGTGAAAAAATAAGTTTTTGGCGAAGCCAAATATTTTTTTTAATTTCAAAATTAAAAAAAACAATTTTTGAATACCTAAAACTATTCGGATTTCAATTTTAATTCAGGCTGAAAACATTTCTCGAATTTTTCATTACAGTACGGAAAGTTCCAGCAATTTGTCTTAAGGCACGATGCCATGCACCACTAGTTACATTTTAACATTTACACTAGTTAAGAACTATTATATACGACCGTATTTATCTATTAAAAAGCAGCAATATAAAACCTGATATTTGTACTCCGCAAACCGACTATATCACGACGTGTTATGATGAATAACTGGAAACAGTAAATTGTTCTGGATTAACTTAGATGATATTTGTGAACAGCCTATTTAATGGTAAGATAGTATTGTACGAACGCAACTTGAATAACTTAATTTATTGGGCTTCTTGCTCAGAGACCGGAGTCTTACCATTTTAAATCTTTGTTCAGAACCAATTAGAAGAGTACAACTCTTCTGGAGATATGTTCCTCATTTGTGGTACAATGAGTGGCTGGTTTCAATTATTATTCATGATATGAGATTATAACATTTATATAAGCATAAAGTGATTTTACTACGTACACTTGCATGTGGGAATTGCATTTTTTCTAGGTTGCAAAGTGATTGGATTTGCAGGAAGTGATGAAAAATGCAACTGGTTGAAGAATGATCTCGGTTTTGATCACGCGCTCAATTACAAGACCGTCGACGCAGCTAAAGCGCTAAAAGAAGCCGCTCCCAATGGCGTTGATTGTTACTTTGATAATGTAAGAATTAAAAAATCAATTTAATTATTGAAAAAATCTATAATATATGTTTCTTGAAGGTTGGTGGTGAATTGAGTTCAATCATTATGAACCAAATGAATTTGTATGGCAGAATTTCAGTATGCGGAGCTATTTCAGCTTATAATGCAGATGTAACCAAAGTACCAACAGGTAATGTTATAGAACTATATTATGCAATTTATTAATTTTATTACCAAAATCATTCAGAGAAAAGTAAATTTAAGAAACGAATTACTAAAAGAATTGTTACCAAAATTTTGTTTTGTTCTTTCATAAAGTAAAGTGCTTAAAGTAGATGAAACAAAAACAGAAATTGTATTTGCATGTTAAAAATCTATAAATAGTTTCGCAAACTAATAGATTTTAAAGATCTAAAGCATATGATATGCCAGTCCAGAAAGCAATTACAATCCTTCAACTAGGAAACAATCATTTTTATCATTGGTGTTTAATAAATCATGCTCATTTCAGCTCCAATCGTGCAACCTACTCTTATCTTCAAAGAATTAAAAATGGAAGGATTTCTTGTGACGAGATGGATATCACGATGGATGGAAGGAATTGGTAAAAATGCTGCTTTGATAGCAGAAGGAAAATTGAAAGTTCGCGAAACGGTTACGGATGGTTTTGAAAATACGCCCCAAGCATTTATCGATATGCTTCGCGGTTCCAACACTGGCAAAGCTGTCGTAAAGTGCATCTAATTGTAAGATTTTTTAAGCGTAGTTTTTATACTGTATTCATCATATAATAATAAATAATTTCATACGAAAAGTGTTTTTTCTTTAAATTCAAAATGGTCCCTTAATTTTTGCAGCATGCGATTTGCTGCTTAATACCTCTCAACTATGACTTGACAGTAATATGTAACAGATTTCAGGATCAAATCAAACACGTGAAATAACAATTTATGTACATCTGAAATTCTCCATAAATTTGAATTTAACACTTCATATTGTATGCTACAAGATAACATGATCATTGAGTTGAGTTATCTATTGTGAGCATAGGCCAAGGTGTTATGATTATGTATGTCCCCCTAACATTGATTGAGAGCCCTTGGAACAAATAGTTCATTTTATCCTGGTCAGAATCTTTGAATCAGGGGAGGTATAAGTCTATAGATTCGTTATGATAATATGGACTTACCTTTTTATATAATTTATTATTTCAGGTTTATCTTATTAGTTACAACCGAAAGTGTGGCTTCCATAAGTGTTTGAAATTATTTAAACATTATTAAATATGTGGCGTTAGATGCTAAACGAAAGTCAGAAATAAAGTGTACAATTGCAAAATCGTTATCTTAATATGCATTCTTTGCTAGAAAAAAAAGCGTGTAAACGTAAACTGTGAATATTTCAAATTTTTCAAACAACATTCATACTTATGCGAGTGTCGGATAAGGAAAACGGGTCGCTCGACTTTTATATTCGATAAAAAAAAATAGTTATTTTATTATTGAATAACGAATAAATTGACCAACTTATACTTATAATTATAATTTGACATGCGATAAGATTATACTTTATTTTCCACTATAATTTTTTTGACACGAAGTTGGCGACCATTGTAAGTCCGTTAAACAAATGACATAAGAAAGGAACTAACGCTAACTTCGGTTCCGTACTTGTTAATTTGCTTTGTTGATCACAATCACAATACTGTTTTGATTCTTCACGTTTGCTTTTGTACGTGCAGTGTACTTACTTAATTATGGTCGAAAACGAAACTCCCCAACTGACAGCAGGAGAGGCTGAACTCTACGATCGGCAAATTAGGTTATGGGGCTTAGAATCTCAAAAACGGTCGGATTGCTGTTTATAGGTTAGCCGGTCAGTATTGTTTACATGCAATTTACAACATTTTTTTATTTACAGGCTGAGGGCCGCCCGCATTTTGCTAGTAGGTTTAAATGGCTTAGGAGCAGAAGTAGCAAAAAATATTATCTTGGCTGGCATCAAATCTATTACCCTTATGGACGATAAAAACGTATCCTTGGAAGATTCAGCTTCTCAGTTTCTGTGTCCAACAGAGGATATAGGTCGAAATAGGGCTGAAACTAGTTTGCACCGTGCTCAAGCTCTCAATCCTATGGTAGAAATTAATGTGGATACATCAAAGATTGGAGAGAAACCTGAAGAATTTTTTGAATGCTTCGATGTAGTTTGTGTTGTTGAACAGCCTCTTGACGTTTTAATCAAAGTTAATAATATATGTAGAAAATATGATATAAAATTTCTATGTGGTGATGTATGGGGTATGTTTGGATATACATTCGGGGATTTAAAGAATCATGAATATGCTGAGTGAGTTTTATTTAAATGAAATACATTTTTTTTTTAAATTATATTAATTGGAAATATTTTATTTTAGAGACCTTATAACTTACAAAACCGAAACAAGTGCTGTTGGTAAACCTAAGAATATTACTGTTACTACTACGAAAAAAGGTTATTTGGCTTTTGTGCCCTTGAAAAGTGTTTTGACTAGAGATTACAAGTCAGCAAGCTTTTTAAAGACGATAAAACGGAATGGCCCATGCTATTTGGCTATGCAAGTCCTTCATAATTTTAGATCTCAATATCATAGGGATCCATCGCCATCAAATAAAGAAGAAGATTTAAAAAATCTGAATACTTTGAGAAAGGAATTATTGTCAGAAACTGGAGTTGATGAAAGTTTATTCGGAGAAGATTTTTTCAACCATGTGATATCATTAATCAGTCCTGCATGTGCAATTATAGGAGGTATCTTGGGTCATGAAATTATTAAGGCTGTATCTCAGCGAGAGAAGCCACATGACAATTTATTTTTCTTCAATCCTCTAAATTGTGCAGGATATGTCGATTGTGTACGTTAAAATAATACAATGTAATAATAATAACATCAATAATAATTATAATATTGATTTGTACTAATTCGTACACATTTTAATTTTTATTTTTATTCAGTTACTAAATTGTTTTTTCTTCAACTCAACAAACATAATTACTTAATTTTTGTTCTTAACATTAAATGAGGCTTTAGTGTAACATTTGTACTCTTATATGCACTAATAAATATCACAACATATATCAAAGTATGTTCTTTGTACTCAAAAATAAATAAATTTGATTCATATAAAAAAATATGTTTCTATTGAAAGTAAGAAATATAATTATGATGTAATAATAATAGCGATCACTATTGGAATTTTGAAAAGCATTTATGCAACCTAATGATTAAGATTACTCTGTACATGTGGAATTGAAATTATAACAATTCAAATCATAAAACATTAGGATCGAGTCTCTGATTATGAATAAAATATTAAAGCATGATGAATGATTGCAGAACATATGCAAACAATCCTTGTGACAAATACAAATATTCTTTGTCATATAGAAACTATCTATGCTAAAATCTGGTCAGTATATACATATAATCATCTTTATTTGTGAGTGTTTAAAATGAAGGTGACTGTGTCGGTAGATTTATTGTACCGATGTAAATGTATACAATAAAGATCTGTCGTAGAAATGATGAACATTGTTAATATGCCGCAGTATTCGACCGTCGATTAAATGCTTTGCATAATTGATAGCTTCAACTCGGTCCCTGGCCAAGCCAACATTAATTAGCCAGTCCACAAAATCTGAGCCTTTGAATACTTTTTTGTAGATCTTGATGCGCCACCTAAATAAATAAGATATGTAGCTTTAGAATACAATTTACAAATTAATAAAAATTGGGATATTTTTTTGATCATAATCATGCACAAAGTATATCTCAAATTATAAACAATAAGTAAATTAGATAAAATGGCACAAGTTTATAATAAAGAGTTAATGAAATACTCAATAATAATTAATATTATCCAGGACCAAAAACTTTGTTCAATATATGATGAACAGTATTATATCATTAATCCCAAATGTATCAATGCTGTAGAATCACGCATGCAACCGAAAATGTTAAATTTTTGTTTATGAAATGAATACCATTTGCGAAGACGAAACGATAGCGCAATCAGTTGGAGACGAGGAGTCAAACGGGGCGGTCGTGTGGTTAGCGTGTGACGAATTTAAACCATGTGTAACGTTTCTTTCATAACCTAAGGTATCGTTTTTCATAATTTTAACCTTAATAAATTAATGAAGATGTTATGTTATATTTTAATAAATTAATGAAGAAATTAATAAATGAATAAATTAAATGAGTCATAACAACACGTGAGAAATTTTCAGACTATTATTTCAGTCAGCAGTCAGCTGTAAATATCATCTTGAACTCAATGTAAATGCCCAGTTTTATCACGTTATTTTATTCAAAAAGATTTGCATTTTTCTTGAATTGTAAGTGAAATATTAAATGAATTTGTGTGGTAGATTCGTATTCCGAAAACCTCGGAAAAATGTATTTGTGTAGTTTCCGTTGAGAGCTGTCTTTGATTTCTTTCAATCATCCCATGAGCTCCATTTAATGGCGAAAACAACTGATGAGCCCCAGTCTTGGTCGCGCAAATTTTTAGAGTGCAATTTTCAGGTATGTAAATTTATAAATGAAATTTTTCACATTATATATATATATATATATATATATATATATATATATATATATATATTAGGTTGTCAAATATCTCCCTTCCGCTTTTTTGCTCTTGGTTTATAATACAAAAAGGCGGAAGGGAGATATTTGACAACCTTATATATATATATAAATTATTTAATATTAATTATTATTAATATAGCACACTATACTCTGTTCTTGCACTACCCTTGTTTCGCACTAGTATTTAATTAAACTCAAACTTAACAACAAAAAATACACATTATTAAAACTTCATATAAATTACCTATTGCATAATATGTTGAATCATGGATAGTAACACTTTAATATAACAACTTTCTGTCACAAAGTCAGTCGGTGTCAAACAATGTGACAGGAAGTTGTTAGTTAGGTAATTTATATAATGTGTTAATATACATTTTTGCTGTTATATTTTGCACTAATGAGATATATCATGCTTTCGAGAAGTTTGCAATTTAATACTTTATGCAATAAAGTTAGTTAGTAATACTATGAAAGTAATTTGGAGTGTTGTGTGTTCACATTCACATAATTAATATTCGTTCCAATCAAAATACAAAATTCTATTGATATCAACATATATATATATATATATATATATATATATATATATATATATAGTGTGAGATTTTCCCAGATGGAGATAGATATACGGTGAAACGTTTTTGGAAATCTATCCAATAAAAAAAATAATTTAATGAAGAAGAATATCTTTATTAGAATAGCATACGTTTTGAGTCTTGGTTTCAAGTCAAACACAATACACAAATACCGTAATTAATACTTATTTTGAAAAGTTTGCAAAATGGTTTGATTACAAAACTGTTCCATTAACAGTCTTTTTGTTTATTTTAGTTAATACATTTTGATATAAAAATTATGTAAATATATTTATAGGTGCTTCTCATTTTTGTGCCTGGTTTGAATAATTTGATAAAGATGACCAAGACTTTAAACGTATGCTATTCTAATAAAGACATTCTTCCTCATTAATTTCTTTTTATTGTTGGATCGATGCCTGAATATATATATATATTTGACATATATATCTATTTCGTTACAAACAGCCAACTATAGCAAATTTTAACAAAGAAAATTAATCGCATTTAAACCATTTATATTATCTCAGTGGATTTAAGGATTCAATCCACTGATTGAATAAGCTTCATATTCATCTGTTTCAATTATAACTTCAATATTATTACGTTAAACAAATCTTGTTCATATAAATAGATGTAAGCCGAAAGAACGGTTGAGTTATTGGATTATTATAGAAAAATGGGTTTTAGATATGCAGTGTAGAATTTCATAGCTTTTAAACATAGAAAGAGAAACAAACTTCAATATGAGGTTACAAAACAAATTTGTCATGCCATATAGAGCGCAATTAGTTTTTCTTTCATTACTTTATTTTGCTTATAGACGTAAGTGAGAGATAAACGATACGAGTTATAAATAAATCTATTGACATATTGTGAAGATTCTAATGGGATTCTATTTTCAAAGAGTATGTCCATTTTCAATTGAATGAGCTATAACAGTTATAATAAAAACCATTTTATAATAAGGTTTTCATAAATTCCACTGTTATGACTGTTACTTAAATTTGAAATATAAACAATTATTATAAGTTTTTGCACCTCTGACTTCATATAACATACATAACAATATAAGCATTGTTTAGTATGTAATTGTAAAGGGCAGTACATGCATGTAAACATCTTGATTACATTAGTACATGTGTCTTGATTAAATTATCCATTTGCAATCGTCAAATTTTACTTGGGGGTTCTCGTTAAGCTGATATAGTATTTCATATTAGTTGAGCACAGAATTTAAACTCAACAAATATATAATGTATATTTATTGACACTTATAAGTATGATTTTTAGTCTTATTTTGGTATAAGAAAAATACCTAGTGTCTTTTGCAATAGCCTGACAGCATCTTTTAAGATGATGCTTAGTGAACTGGCTGCATATATGTTTTGTTTCTTCGCTCAGATCCTCTAACCGTGGCAGATTCAGTATGTTTGCACCATACCAGAGTGTTCTCCATAATTTTAATATGGGCAATAAAATTTCCTTTGTATCCAAACCAAAAACGGCAAAAATTAGCAAAGCTTGTCCAAAGTTAAGTGTTGCATCCAAAAATGAAAGTTCTACATAGATGCCACTCAACTGTTCCATAACTAAGGTCCAAATAGTAATGGATATTCCCTGTAATGACACAGAATAAAGTTATTTTTCTCAATTGAACAGAATTTTATAATTAATGTGAGGTCGTCTATTAGTTGTTCACAGTGAGCACTCATTGAATTAAATTAAATAAGAAAATTGTATTATGTCTGTCCAAATAAAAACAATATAAAAAATTACAATATGTCTGAACAGTTACGAGTCACTTACAATAAACATAGAACATAGAAGCAATATCAGCAGAACTGAATGCCTTAAAATTTGTTGGTCGCCACTATAGTTTTCATCTATTTCAATTGGATCAACACCTTCCCCATCGTGATCAGTATAATTTGAAATCGCACCTTGGCAATTTTCACGATCACTGTTGCCTCCACAACCGACTGCCGATGGACATGTAGAATTTCTGGAATAGATGAAAATGGAAATGAGAACTGGAATGATTTCACAAGTATTTTTTATTTGAACAAATTTTGGCAATTAATGTATTGTATAGAAAGGTCTGTTCAAAAATGAAGTAGTAACATATTCAATAGAACACTTTAAGAGACTTACGTTTGTACATATTCATTTGTGTGATGAAAGAAATGAAATTATTTTGTAAGAAAATATTATTTGCCAACCTAATCTAAATTGGTTCAACTCACTATTGTATATCAAGCATTTTTTTTTTAAATTTTTTACTTCATTTTTATACTTTGATTTGTTTAATGTGATAACAAATTAATGAGGTATAGTTTGCTGGTCGGATGTCAATTTTTTTTCATTATACTTTTTATCAATAGTTACATTAATATCAGAATATAAATTGATTCTATCAGATTATAAGCTGTTTTTCATAGCTTTGGGAAGGTTTTTTTTAATAAGAAGCCTTCATTGATGGAAATCAATGAAAGGATATGAATGTAAATTATTATAATATAATAATATTAAGTTAAATTTTATATTGTATTATTCGATGCGCTCACTGGATGTAACAGATATGAATTTTACTCTAATAATTTTTTATTAAGTACGAATTATAGAATAAAAACAAAACCTATCAATAGTTAGTTATAAAATATAACTCACTGTGCAGTGTCCACAATATTTCTCTGGGTATTTCCTCTCGATAGATCTTCTATGTCAATAACACGTTTTGGATTCGTATTTTTTCCATTGCAACTATTTTCTCCTCCTTCGCCACAGCAGCCGTTATTATTCGAACAAGATTGCGGATTTTCAGGAAAAGGTCTGTAGGAGTTTCTCGAATTTCTTTGTTGATCATCAGCGGCTTGACTCACGGCCTCTAGGTTTTGTATGGCATTATTTGAGGCAGCAACATCGTTCGATAGAGTCAAATACCGAGCTCTACGTTTGGTGTATCTTTGAAGCAGTATTAAACACCCGACAGTGACTAAAATGTAATAGTATATTTTATTAGTACATTTATATACAATGTACACATATTCCAAATAATGTTATTATCAAGGTCACTCAATTAAATTTATGGTTTATGCCATGTTTAGTTTAAAACCTCATATTAGCATTATACATATGCTACACATATACATAATATTCAATTGAACTTTAAGGATTCCCATCATCACTTTGAATAATTTTTCACTACATCTGCTCAACTCTTTCACAATGAATAAAAAATTATATGTGATAAGTCTACAAAAACTAACCTATGAAGCAGAAAACAAGCAATGAGACAGCAATCGCGGCATGGGGTTCTCCAAATTGGAAATTGGGAATTTTCTTCTCTTTATTCAAGACGTTGTCCTTATCAAATAATAACAAAATACTAGCCACTACCACTGGTACTCCCCATCCCAACAATACGAATGGTATTTGAAGTCTTAAGATGAAGCAAAGGCTTCTCATGTGCAAGAGAAGCATAACAACTGCCAGAAAAGTTGTCCATAAGCGACTGCTGTATATTCCTACAGTTAGTAAAACGAACTGTATTGATAAATTCCATTCTGATGATCTATCTAATGTGGACCAGAGGATAATGCCAACAGCTGTGAAGACCTAAAATTAAAATCAGAATATATTACTTCCAAGCATTTGGCATCAGTCATCAAGTTATATGAGAAAAAATTGCATAATAAAGTCTATAGAATAAATAATGCATACTTTTTCTTTAGTCAGGTGGCAATGTATTTATAAATAATGAAAAATAATGAAAGTAATGAAGATGCACCTGGATAAAACTAGATTATTATGTTGTTATTCAGTTGTGATATGGGAAAATATGTAGTTGCAACATGCAACTACGCATTGTACTACGTATTGCTACTATGCAGCAACGTAGGTGTCCCATATGTTGCCATAAAAATAGCACTAACTCTGAAATAATGTTGTAGAAGTACGAAAATTAATAATATTATTAAAAATACTATATTTCAAAAATGATTGTTAAAATGAAAACTTAGTACTAATAGATATTTATTTTTGTTGATCGATGATGATAGATCGTTGATCGCTATAATTATGATATTGGCATTACTGAAATAACATTTCTATAAGATTGGTAAACGTGCTTTCTAAAAAACTATATTACATATATACATACATATATAAATATCAATATTTTTTTTAGAATTATAATTTGTAATATAGAACAAATCATTAATAATGGTTAAGAATTCACTTTTCACATCACATTCCATTTTATTTTTCTCATATATCACATCCATGTGAATAAGGATACAACTAATATAAATAAAACACATGCATTAATTAATATGCGTAACCAGTAATAATAAGGGGGAAACTTATCTTCAATATTTTCATCAACTATTTTATTGATGAAAGAAATTTATATAAATTTAGCACTCCATTAAATAAATAGTTACACTAAACTACTTTAAATTCACAATATACATAAAATTTTGCGCGGTCAGCAAAATTATGTGCTTACCGCTGACACTGGTGTTTGACAAGAAAATAGACTTGATCTCAATATTTTTGTTCGTGCAATTCAATATTAATAACAATAATATATTTTAAAAGAAAATAAAACCATACAAAATGAATGGAACTAATATATTTCAACTAACAACAGAAAATAAAAACAACAACGATAAAGCATATAACAAACAAATTATAGTTTTATATTTTTACAAAATCAATAGACCAATCACAGATAATACAAGCAATAAAATAGAACGAATCACAACATTTTACCTAATCGTGCACTTACTTCAATTACCTAGATAACAATGATACGTAACCTAATAATTTTGTAAGTACTCGACTTTCCTAAGTAGTAAAGAATGTCCAAATACATATAATTATATATAATATAGTGCTTTTTCAACATTTTTATTAATAACGATAAATGTTAAGGATAACACATTTGAGTATAATGAATTGGAAACAATTAAACAGTACTCAGATATTTATATTTATAAAATCTGTTAAAGAGTAGTTTTCCGTATAATCTCTAAAACCGTATTTTTTACAAACAAAATCTAAAACACCTAATTTTAAATCACAGAATGTTGTACCACTAATCTTGTCTGGAGAGTTACTTTTATTATTTTTAACCACTTGATAATGTTATCAAGTACCTTGCAGTTAATAGTAAAAATTATGTATTATTTTAAATGATTTATCACATAGGTCTTGTTTTCTGTTCTGTGATAACCTCGTCATTGTTTAGTTGGTTTATCATACGTTTTAAAACATATATGCACCAACTCACAAAACAAATAAAAGTTCTTTGTTTGACCATCGCGCAATAAGGCGTTTTTGTGACCGCTTATAACCAACAATAACGATGTTAAGCTTTCATAAAAATTTGATACATCCTTCGGTTAAATTTTATAAAACTTGAAAAGTCGTATGAAATTCTTCAGTATATACAGTATAATAAATACCTGCGATATGATCAAGCAACAAGTAATCCTGTGCGGCAGTCTTTTGTATTTCTTAGATAGCACGAAAAGTATCATAAGCCAAGCACAGGCTATTATTGCAGCAATACTCAGATCGAAAACATAAGATTCGATTTCATTTATGAAATCATTAGGATTCAAATTGGACAATGTTATCATCTTCGCCGATATGAACATCAGCGGTGCGCTGATGAAGGTGCAAGCCACCATCGAACTAGCGATCTGTTGGAGGAAGCAAAATTGACATTATTCCCTGTTGAAAATTCTTAGCTCTAATACGTTGACATATTTATTTTAATTAAAATAGTTCATTAAGATAATAGTATGAATCCTATTGTCAGACAATTCAAATTATTTGAACAAGTGTCAGTATGGTTTCTGACCATTTTCGTGGATTAGCGTTGTAACTGATGCTGAATAGATACCATAGGAAAATGCTCCAATCGCAACCCCATAGTTGTTGTTATTTTAACTCTCTGTCAGTCTGTTTTTGTTTCATGGTTGGTGGCAAAAGTTCTAAAAACATTATTTCAAATTTTGCAATAGCATTTGAAGAGAATATGTAATTATTTGGTATCTTTTTAATGTTTCTATTGCAATGAAATATATTATATGCGTATATCATATAAACAATAGATGCAAATTCACATTAACTTAATTGACACCCAATCAATTTAATGCGATGAAAGTAATCTTATTTACTTTCTCAATACATGCTGTTCATCATATAACTATTTTGTAATTAATTCAATTCACTCTTTTTCTTGCACATTTAAATAAACTATAGTGTGAAGAAAATGGTGAGAATCAATAATCTATAATTCAAGTTATATATCGGCGACCTTAAATACTATCTAATTTACTTTGAAGTTTAATGCATTTCTATAATTATTTTGATTTATTAGCTTCGAATTTAATTCAATTTTTTAAAATATATGTAAAATTACCAGATCGACATCGATGTTATACTGCGTTGCAAAAACGAAAACTCCGGGTGCTGCCGGAAAGGTTCCATAGAGAAATCCAAACGTACTTAAATCTAAAGTATCACTCGAATTTGTTCCCACATTAAGAACGCTCACTACTTCACGTGTTACTACTGGTAAAACTAGTCTGAATGGAAAAGAAATTTCACGATAAAAATTTATAAGTTATAATTACAAAAAGTAGAAGATTAAACCTACAACTTCATTATGATTAAAATTCCTGGTAAAAGTAAAGCTTTTCCTTGGAGTGTGTGCGCTTTACCTACCATCCTCAGACCTAATAAAAAGAGAGCTGTTGCTGAGAAGGAAGAACCTAGTACCTAAAACGTTAAAAGAAAGTTATGAACATATATTATAAATTTATATATCATTTATTTCTATATTGTGAACTTTATCTTGAGTTTTATATATAAAAATAAAAAAAATCATGTTATCGCATTACAACATACTGCATCTAGATCAAAATAGTCTTATTGTTAGAAGAAGGGACATAGAACTGCATTATGAACAATTTTATTAGTATTTTTTTTAAAGTCCTGTTAATAGTCACATTAACAAAAAGTAGTTATCTAGATCTATTGGAAACTAAGTTTGTTTCTAACGTTTGAAATATGAATATTGAAATAAAATATAGCGATGTCGAATATTTGATGAAAAGCAACATATTACTCATAATGTAAAGTTCACAATATTTCAAGCAACAAAAAAATGATGTGCGACTTCTATTAATAATGGCTGAAAATTACCAATAAACAAAATTTCAAATTACAATTCATAGAAATCACTTACCTTAAGTATCCCAGATAAAAAATCTGGTAGTTGATGCTTAAAAACAAAATTGCCTATAACCCCCAATGCGGTCATCATGACAACAGGATTAAAGAAGACACTTTTTATGAGAGAAAATGTCGTAGTTAATTTGTTTTGTTTAGGAGGTAAATCTGTTGGCGAATCCAATGAATAATTCTGATTGGCCATTCGTCTTTTGTGGATTTCCATTAGTACAAATCCGATCGGATTTAGAATTATCAAAGAAATGGGTGCCATCAGATATAAATAAGATGGATATTCTGGATGACATGTTTGGTACAAAGCAACCACTAAAATGATAAAAGAATTTATTTTAATATAGTTATGCTATTAGGTATCTGCAATAATCTTTATCATACGATAGGTCTACTAACTAAACATTTAAAAAACATTTTAATTATTACAATTTTCACAACATTCCAGAATAAAATCTGGAATTCGTTAACTATATCAAGGTTATTTATATATTATTGGAAATAATTATGTATTAACCATTGCGCTGTCACGTAGCAGTTGAGAATATTATCATAATAATTTAAATAACGAAATATGATCAATAAGATCAACATTTCGATAAATTTTACCAATTAGATTTAATATGTTTTTATAACTCACCTATGGGGTAACCGATAGCAAAATCGTTACTCTGCGTGCAGAATATGGCGAAAAGTCCTGCCCTTCCTATATTGACAGGGCGTGCTCCCAAAGTGGTGACTACTGATACTGCAAGGAAGACCAAAGCCTTGGCTAAGAGCACGGATCCTAAAAAGTACCAATTCACAGCGCTCAATTCTAACTCGGCCAACGATAAGAATATCAGAGCTGGAAGTGCAAATGTTCCAACGAAAGTGCTCAAACCCTTAGCTTCTGTTTCCGAAATGAGATTCATACGACCTGCCAAATATCTGAAACAAATAGTAGTTTACATCAAAACATATTACATATAAGTAAAGCAATAATTTTGAGAATAATTTAACCCAACATCTGTTTAATAATATTTTTTTAATGAGTAAGGTAAGGGGCCCAGTTTCTGACCTTTTTAGAGTGACGGTGGAGGTTTAACTATAATAATTAATATAAAACTTAACTTAATGAAGAAAATTATAATTTTATCTATTAGTTTAGGATTTTTAAAATAAAGTAATGTGCATAAAAAATTATTTGAACTAAATTTATATTTTAAATTGACGTTTTAAAAATTGACATTAAGAGCTCCAGTTTCTGACCCTCAGAATTCTTCGTGTGGCAGTTTCTGACCCTGACCGTAGCCCAATTTCTGACCCTCAAATTTAATCATGATTAGGTTATGAAGTGCTTACTAATTTTAAATAAACTGAAATTATTATTAAAATAAATAAATTAAATATTTATTCTAAAAATATACAGTTTGTTAAAATTTAACGTATATATAATAGTTCAAGTCTTGTTATAACATATTACACAAACTAAAAAATTAAAATTAATTATTTAAATTACTTGGACTTTTTTTTTATTTTAAGAGCTTTTTGTTTCTTTTTTTCTTCAAGTTCTTTTTTTTAAATTATTTTTCCTGCCTCCTTGATGGCTTTATTTTTGTACCTTTCAGCTTTTTTCAATTCTTTTTCTTCTTCTAATTTTCATTTAATTAATTGTAATTGTATAATTGTATAATAATAAAAATATTAGTAAACTAAAACAGTCATAATTTAAGCGTTGATAAAACTGACATTTTTTTATTAATAATTTTATCACTTAAAAGATGTATTTACAAGATTTAAATACAATCTTTCATTTATACCAATGAATATTAAATGTAAATTTATCACTTTACTACGAAAAATAGTAAAAAAATATAAGATAACAATAAATATTATTATTTTTACATTTAATGAACAAGTGACTAAAAACATGTGACAGATAACCTAGCTTTTAGAAGGTTAGAATTGCAGGGTCAACAACTGTGACATACACATAAAATTGAGCCTAGTTATTGACCCTCAAATTTCAGTAATAAAACTAAATTTAATATGTTTTATAAATATTTTAAAATAAATTTTAATTAATTATTGACTTATTTGTATATTTTTAGTTAGATTTTCGTACTTACATCATAATTAGTGCACGAACTCAATTGTCGTAGCTCCTTACATAAACTGTTTAGACTAAAGCTAAAAAATGGCTTCCACAGTCACTTTTGGTTTAAAAAATTTTTTTTATTTAGTTAATATTTTTTATATTTTTTGAATTGACATTAATGAGGCATAGAATAAATTACTGTCAATTAAGAAAAAATTTATTTTCACATTAAATGTATAGTTTTTTAATTAATTCCAAAAAAAGTTGAAAAGGTCAGAAACTGGGCCAGGGTCAATAACTGGGTCTTTTACCTTATATTATTTACACGAAACAGAAATTAGTAGTCCTATAAGCTTGTTGTAATGACTTCTTAATAACTTGACATCATAAGCCAACTTGACATTGACTTATCTCTTTTTGATGAATTTATTATTGGAATAACTGTAATATTTATGCAGCAATACCGAATAAGAAACATTTTCACTTGGAAAGATATCTATATTTTCAAGTAAAAAAGCTATCTATATTTTCAAGTAAAAAAGCTATCTATATTTTCAAGTAAAAACTGCTTCACATCAGGCAAGGAAGCAGATAGACCTAACCATTAGTTCACGGTGGAGCCCCTATTTTACCGGAGTATAAACATAAATTAGTTATTTTATTAATCATATTCTCTTATGGGAAAATGATCAAGTTTATAATTTGCACACTAATAATAGTGTTTGTAATCAATGTATTTTTCATAAACATTTCTACCGGGCATTCTTAAGTTTCAAAAGCTATTTTAATACTCAGTGAGTTTTAAGGTTTCTTCGGAATCCACCCAGTTTTTTGTACTAGTTAAAAACTTTCAACAGAATCTTTTTATGGACATCATAGGAATGCCTTTGTCGCACAGAAAATCGAATTTCATAGCGAACGAGAATCGCACTTCAAAAGTTTAGAAGATACATAAAAGTATAAAACAACGGCCGCTCTCATTTATGGAAACTGGAAAAAAATTTCAATATGTAGCGTTCTTATGATAAGTAATTTGCATTTATTAGTATATCGTATTAAAAACATACGTACGGAAGCCAATTAATATATTTGGGAACGTTCTCATGAATACAATTTCATTATGAACATAAATAAATAAAGTGTCCATATTACTTCACTTAAGGAAACAATAGATTCAACATTTCAAAATTTTTATGAACAACAAACTATACCTCGAAATTTCCATTTCATATTTTCGCAGGCTTATAAGCTTTGCCGAATGTTCATAGAAAACATTTACAATATGTTTTGCTGTTATACGAAAGTAATAAAAAATCATACTATATATAAGTAAATAAAATGATTATCTTATGAGTTTGATATCTTATAGTAACGAGTGTTCTATCAATTACATATACACTCAACTATATTTACAAACAATAATACCTAGAATTCAGATAACTTATAAACTAAGGCGTAATTAAATGCTGCAGGTACGCAAAAAAACAAAACTCGAAAGAGAAAAATAACAATTAAGCTGCGAATTATAAAATAAAACAACGAAGATCGTAGTTACATATAGCAATAACTGCTTTTTAGTAAATTATATAATTATTGATTTTAATAATAATTAATTGTACCGAAAGAATCTTTATTTGAATTTTGTTTATTTTATCTATATATCCCTTAAAATTTCATTATGGTAGATTTACAATAATTGGAGTAGATTTACGCTCATTGTAGTAAAGTTACACTCATACCCGTGGAGTTGCAATCATTGTGGTAGATACACGCATTCTCGTAGCTTTACACTCATCGGAGTAGATTTTTATTTTTTTTAGTAGATTGGTGATTCATGCTCACTGATGCTTATTTATAACCTTTGGAGCAGATTTACAACCATTCTGGTAGATTTAAGAATTTAATTTAATCTAGTGTAGAGGCACGAATTTTAGGTAATTTTGCAAAAATCGAAGAGAGAGAGGGTAATCAATTTTTATACTATCATGTTTTTTTTATAATTTCTTTATTACCGTTACAAAAGCACAGAAAAAAATTAAAACAAAAAAAGTTTTATGATTAAAGGTATATATTAGAATTAAGTCAAAAAATTAATTTTTGACAAAATGGTGACTGTTTCTAAAAAAGGATCAATTTCTTACTACTTTTTTGAGTTTTTCGAATTTTTTAAAAATAGTAAAAATTAAAATTTGGAGATGGAGCTAGTATATGTCTGAAAGAAGTCTATAAAGAAAATTCTCAGAAAATTTCCAGTAAATCAGTCCAGTAGAGCTCGAGAAATCGTCGGAATCGTATTGAGTTTTGAGAAAAACGCGTTTAAAGTTTCGCAAAAGGAAGCAAACAGAAGAGGATTATCATGGCGAAACAGCTGTATCTCCGAAGATAATTAATATTTTTAAAAATCCTTTCATAACATATTTTTAAATAGTTAAAATTTGAAAACGCTAAAATACCTCTTATACTCATTAACTTAAATTCTACAATCATTGTAGAGACTACAGTCTATAAAGGATGTCGACTACAATTTACAATTTACAATTTGTAGTAGATTTTCAAGCATTAATTAACTTCCCGTAGGGTAAGTTATTGTAATGGGCCGAAAATGGGAATTGAAAATTTTCACATTTCTCGATGTTTTGAAGGTTTCTGAACATTTTGGCATACCTCAGAAAAAATGGATGTGTGTGTGTGTATGTATGTATGGATACAAATTTCCAGTCACGTTTCCGGGCGAACGGATCAACCGATTTGAATGGTTCAAAAAACATTCGATTCCTATCGATAGGGTAAAGAGCTGATTAGTTTTTGGCAAAGGCAGGCCCAGCCATTTCGAAGATACGGAGCTAAATATGTAAAAAATGGCAGTTTTTGAGAGAACTAAGCGTCCGATTTGAATGATTCAAAGAACTTTCTGCTTGTCTTAACAAAATAATTGATTTTGGAAAAAAAAATTTTTGTCCCATTTTTTTTTTTTTTTTTTTTAAATTTTTTGTATATCGAAAATAATTCAGATTTTTTTTTTTTCTGACTATAGTTCTAATATACTTTAAACAAATAATTTCAACTTTGCAATTCAGTTTATATAATTCTTATAAATATTAGACAATGTTACAATATTTATAATAATCTATTTGAAAACATTCAGTAATCCTCGAACATTTCGTTACGGTACGGGAAGTTCCAGCAATTTGCCTTAAGGCACGATGCCACCCACCCCACTAGTTTCATTTCTATTCATAAACTTTTGATGAATGTAAACAAAAATCAAAACTTAAAATATAATATAAAGCGTAAAGCAAAAACCGCAAAAATCTTATTCGCATCAATATATATTTCTTTTAGAAATGGATCTTTAATATGTGTTTATATTGGTTTTTGTAAATAGTATGGAACTCGGAGAATAGCTATATGCAGAATACATTTCTTACTTATGTACTATTTTAATAGAGTATAATAGTCATTCAATTATTATATAGATATATGCAATAGACTCCTAAACGATTCAATTACAAGTTATGTCGCAATCTATGTTAGTTTGATGTTATTAAATCGATAACAATAGTATTATTTAGTGCAGATTGAGAAACAGAATAATCGAGTCGCGTTTATCTGAGATTGGTTTCAAATGATTGAATTGACTTTCCATATTTTTTCTCTGCAGATTTCCGCAGATCATGTTCCAGCTCTCTCGACACGATTGTTCTATTACACAAAATGTTGCACATATAGACTCGTGCCTAGTACTTTCTAATTTCATTATGGCAACCGTTCTGAAATTGTTTGTTTTAAGGCTGCTGCGAACAAGTTGTATTTGCGCAGCTCGTTTTATATTTGAACAAGCGCATTCAGT